AGGATCACATCCACAACAACAGACCCCTCACATCCAGCCCATCACCTGTTTGAACTGATGCCCTCCAGGCGGCGCTACAGGTCAATTAAATCACACACCTCCAGACTCTGCAATAGTTTGTACCCCTGGGCCATAAGAACTGCCAACAAACACATGTTCCCAAACCCCAGGAACGGAGCTGGGCTGTGACTTGATTTTGAAGTCGTGGTCGCACAGGCAATTACAGCTTCCATCATGTGACCCACATTGGCCGAAAAAAGCAATTTTTTTTATAATACAAAATCATTGGAATAGGTTGTATTTTGGTGACATCACAAATCCCAGAAATGGACCATTTTATTAACAGAATGTGATCTTTTCTGGTTTTGTGTTGGGCTCTGAGGACTGCTAAAAAAACTGGTGACTCATTCTGTGTAGATATACAGAGGACTGCAGCTGCTACTGCTGCTCACGCTACACCTCCTTTATAGTGTAATATTTGGCACATTTGTGAGAGCAAATTTAACGGCCTGTATCCAACAAGTGTTGCAGAAGAACAAACAAAACAAATTAGACAACCTTCTACTGTCACTGTCAACATGTTTCATTAAACAGTCTTATCACATTCTCTGAATACAAATATCAAGAATATCTACCTGGAACCTGTAAAAGGGAACTGTGAAATTTGGATTTGCTTTGCTTTACATTGGCTTTATCAGACCACATTCTTCTGCTTATGTAGGAGGATAAGTTCAGACAGAGGTGAAAAATAGGCACAAACAGTGGCATGGAAAAGTCTGAGCACCCTTGGTCAAAATTTCGTTTACTGTGAATAGTTTAGTGAGTAGAAGATGAACTGATCTCCTAAAGGCATGAAGTCAAAGATGAAACATGCTTTTCAACATTTTAAGCAAGATAGTCTGTTATTTTAATTCTGTACAATTTTAGAGTGAAAATTAATGAATGAAAGGAGCACCGTGCAAAAGTTTGGGCACTCCAAGACATTTGAGCTCTCAGAAAACTTTTACCAGGGTCTCAGACCTTAATTAGCTTGTTAGGGCTATGGCTTGTTCATGGTCATTGTGGGAAAGGCCAGGTGATGCAAATTTCAAAGCTTTATAAACACTCTGACTCCTGAAACCTTGTCCCAACAATCACCATGGGCTCCTCTAAACAGCTGCCTAGCGCTCTGAAAACTAAAATAACTGATGCCCACAAGACAGGAGAAGACTTTAAGAAGATAGCAAAGTGTTTTCAGGTAACTGTTCCCTCAGTTTGTAATGTAATTAAGAAATGACAGTTAACAGGAACTGTGGAGGTCAAGTTGAGGTATGGAAGGCCAAGAAAAATTTCAGAGAGAGCTGCTTGTGGGATTGTGAGAAAGGCAAATCAAAACCCCTGTTTGACTACAAAAGACCTGCAGGAAGATTTAGCAGACTCTGGAATGGTGGTACACTGTTGTACTGTGCAGCGACACCTGTATAAAGCTGAAGAGAGGATGACTTCTACAACAGGACAATGCTCCCAAATACACTTCAAAATCCACAATGGACTACCCCAAAAGGTACAAGCAGAAGGTTTTGCCATGGCCCTCACAGTCCCCCGACCTAAGTATGAAGGTATTATTGGTGAAAAAGGTTTGAGCACCTGTAACAGTAGAATTTGTAGTTGTGTACAGTGATTTGTATGTGTGTCAGTATGAGTTGTGTACTTGTAGATTTTTTTTTCTCTCCACAAATACAACACAACACTTACACATTCACAAATTCTTAATTACAGGTGCACAAATCCTATTTTACAAGTCACAGATTAAAAAACTGACGCTCACATTTTTGCTCCTATTGTTGCAGTATATTTGGTGCAAAACATATTTGTGCACCTGTATCAAACAATGTGAAGTTGTGGACAAAATTTGAATATGTGCAAACCTGAATGTGAACTTGTGCAAAAAATGTTCAATGTATGTAAAATAATTTCTCAGGAAATTATTTGTGTTCCTTTAAAACACAAATACAAATCTATAATCACACAACTAAAAATTCTACTGTTACAGGCGCTCAAACCTTTTTCACCAATAATACCTTCATACCTAAGCATTATGAAAAATATGTGGATAGACCTCAACAGAGCAGTGGATGCAAGACAGCCCAAGAATCTCACAGAACTAGAAGCCTTTTGCAGGAAGAATAGGTAAAAATCCCCCAAACAAGGCTATAAAAAGCATTTATAAGCTGTGATTGTTGCCAAAAGGGGTGCTACATAGAACTGACCATGCAGGGTGCCCAAACTTTTGCTTAAGACCCTTTTCCTTTTTTGTTGTTTTTTTAACTGTCAAAGCTTCAGCTTTTGAAAAAAATGTGTCATCTTTAACTTCATGCCTTTTGGAGATCAGTTCATCTTCTACCTATTCAGCTATTCACAGTAAACAAAATGGGTGTCCAGGGGTCCTTGAACTTTTGCATGCCACTGTAATCATTAAAAATATACTAAGTGACAAAGGTAGTTTGGCATTTATTTGTTTTACAGAGAAGGAACAGAACCTTATCGTCACATGATTCTACAGATGAAAAGTGGAACAGATTCTTAAGAAAACACAGCAGCAGCACGCAGACTGCTATTAAACATAGTATGTACTGCATGTTATTTCTCCCAAAACACCAACCCTTTCGATTTCAACAACTTTACACTGTGCAACTCATATACATGTCCTGATGGGCCTGCGGCCAGAATATTCAGAATGCACTCATATCAGGACAGATCAAGTCAGAGCATGCCAGCCTGACACAGCCTGAGCATTTAATCTTTAAAGATAAGAAGGTATGGGTCTGTTGACAAATTCCATACCCAAGTCCAAGTGAAGTGTAGTGTAGCACTAACAGAACAGTGTTACTGCAGTGTTACCCATTTGACAATGGGAAATAAATCTGTTTGTTTAAAGCCACTTTCAAATGTATTACCTTTAACTTTGTGGTGTACTGGGATTATGACAACTATCTAACTCCATCCCTTTATTTCAAGCTGACATACCTTATTATTTTAACCATAGAGCAATATGATTTTTACAATGTTTCTCTAAAATACAAAAGAGAAAAATTAAAAATAGCTATATCTGACAGACAAAGTAATACTGGAATTAAATATGATCAAAGTTTTGTAAATGTAAATCTGTAATAGTTTGTCAAAATTTTGTTTACTGTGAATAGCTAAGCAAGTAAAAGTTGTTGTAAGTTGTAAAATCAGATAAAAAAACGATACTTTCAAAAGTTATTTTGGTTTATTGACTGGCATACTGTTTTAGTTTAGGTTGTTCAGATTTTAGGGACATGAAGTATTTACACCAAGAAATGACATCACAAGAAGGAAAAATACCACTGTAGGCACCATTTCTCTTGCAGAGTTCGAAGGGTTAGAAAAGACGGTTGTTGAAAAGTAGCTAAAAGAGATGTGGTGAGATTGTGGTGGCAATGTTGTCGTCATGTGACTGTGGTATAGTTCTTTTACAACCTAACATTAGCTTTTTACTTCTGGCGATCTCATTTGCATTTCAAAAATCATAGAAATGGTGTTCAGTTGTGAAGATTATCTTGCTGACAAAACGTATAAGTATTATAAACGTTTCTTTGCCACAGAGCATATTTTCTGTAATAATCCAAAATCCAGTGGAAAAAGTCCGATTTGGATTGTTGTTGGGGGAACTAGGACAACACTAACTTCCATGCTGGCCTATAGAAAAAAAGCATTGTCCCCGCACCACTCTTTACATTTCACTCTTTTCATTTCACATTTCACTCTTTACATTTGTCAATGTATAACATCTAGAAGTTATAACCTTTACTGTCATATCCACATTTTTTATACCTCAAAAAGTGGGTAAGGCACAGCTGTTTAAACACTTTTGTCTACCTTTTTTTCCTCAGAATCACAACCAAAATGCCCACATCTGTTTTTTTTCTTAATATCCACAAACTCTAACCATTTAGGATTATTTTTAGTTTTTACTTATTTTTCTGTTAGTGCAGTTTTATTTAGGAAATGTAATTCATAGAAGAAAATCTTCCATCTTCAGGACACTGTGAAGATCCACAACCAAGTTTAAGTTAATTATACTTGTGTGTCAAATCTATGCTGTATGCGGTGTAGGCCCTGCATAACCTGTGCCGTAGCCTACACTGTAGTGTGACGTGCACCTTCCAAGAAATGTAACTACACTTTGCAGTGACACAGACATCTTGTCTATTTTCATAAGCTGAAAACTATTTATTTCACAGATAAGAGACAATCAACTGTGAAGACAATAAAGCCTCCACTAAATAGCATTTTAAGTCTTAATTTGTACAATGTAAAATGCCATAGGCTTGGGCTAATAAGGTTAGCATGATATATTTGTTTGGAAAATGTGTTTATTATAAGACAGTTGTTTTGTCAGTGAATCTTGTGTGCTATAATGGAGCCCAATTTTGTAACGTTACCTTTATTAAATGCCACTGTTGTTCCTGGCTTCATATGAGCAGAGGAAATCTCCACTAGTGCTTATGACATTAGCATGTTGTATTTGAGGGGAAAATGTGTCCAGTAAAAGACAAGTGCTTTGTCCGTCAATCGTGCGAGTTATAATGAAGCTGATTTGTACAATTGTGTTTGAAACTGTCACTATTAAGCCATGTTTAATGTGTGATTTGAATCAACTAAACGTTACAGCGCTTCACAGAAACCCCACTGGTGTGTTTTGGAGGTGTAACTGCAGAGTGACACAGACACACCACTGCACAGGTATAAATGGTCACAACAGAGTAGGCCATGAGCATAGGACACAGTGTATGCTTTGCACAGAGCTGATGCACAAGTATAAATCTGCCTTTACAGTGTCAGGTGCTTCTTTAAAACAACAACTGAGAGCCTGTGAGTAGGTGGAGCTTGAGCATATCATTGCCTAGATCAGGCAGTGTAAACTTGTTCAGCAAGTTCAGTGGGGCTCACAGGTAAACACTTTTTAATCACAACCAGTCTAAGAGGGCTGTAGTTTCAATCTTACACTCTTGATGATGAGGGTACTCCAAGATGCAGATAAATTGGAACCTTTTGACTACATGTTTACTGCTCTCAGCCGTTGAATGTGGTGAGTGACATTTCATCAGTGCACACTGTTAACAGAAAGATTATTCTACTTTTTTTCCCTTGTTATTTTTGTATCAGGAGCTCGCTGAACAGTTTCTTCCATTTTTGGCATTTACAAGTTAAGTTTAGGGAGAGCAACTAAGAACTGTGTATTACTTTGTATCTACTGTGAATGTTTTTGTGATCATGCTGTTTAATCAGCATCTTGATATGCCACACTTGTGAGGTGGATGGATTATCTTGAAAAAGGGAAAAAACACCTCCACCAAAATAGACAAATTTGCCACTGAAATTTAAAAAAGGTTAGTCTTTTGAGTGCTTAAAAAGAGTCTTCAATCTTTAACTGTAACAATAAGAACAATGTTCGGTGCACATATGCACCGTCACATTTCAGAGGGAAGATGTGTACTAATGACTGTAGCATTTCTCTGATGGCTGAAATTGTTAGAAGTTACAGATTATGCAGATTGGGATTCTAGATATAAACTAATAGCCCACTGCTGTTGTTGAGAAAACATCATGTGTCAGCGGTTTGTCTTGATTATGTTTTTTTATTTTTCTTGTAGTTTTAACTGATCTCAGAGCAGGAACTTTACATTTTAAATGTAGGACATTGCCTTGTAACTGAGTACATTTGCACAGTGTTATGGCTGCTTTTCCTTGTATAACTAACTCAAGTACTCCTTTTATCACTTCCTTTTCTGTGTTGTGTTGTTGACAGATCAATAGAGGTTTATATAAAAATGTAACTGTAGAAAAATAGCAACACTTGTGTTGATTATTAATTTAAATAGCTTGCTATATGATAAGCCATTAATCATATCAACATTTCTTAAGTGACGTAGTGTAAGAGTTGACTTTGTTATCTGGACGTGGAGAGGCGTGACAGCTCAGCTTGCCAAAATGTTGCTCACTGTTAAAGACCAGCACACAAACCGGTTGTGTTTGAAAAGTCAGAGCAGCTTTTTAAACATTATACATTGGGGTTTTGTAGGGACCAGTCACTACATTTCCAGCTGGGATAGTGCCATGAAAACTGGATGTTTTACAGCCAAACATGGTCTTTTCCTAAACAAAACCAAGTAGTTTTTGCAGGTTGCAAAACGCAAGGCGTTGCCAGGAACTACCCTATCACCTTCTTACCCTAAACCTCCTGTGTATTCAATTTACCGTATATTTTGGCAAGCTAAAACTACCTACTTATTTCCAATCAGTAACTAGAAAAGCACCATATGCCTAGAGCGCAGAAACACACGGTGGGTAGCAATGCAAAAACAGCGGGCAAAAAACTTAATTCTCATTAAAAAAAATTACAAAAAGCCACCTGCACCTGCTAAAATGCTTTCTGTGAGATCGGAGCCTGGAATTGTTTTCTCAACTTTGGTGTCTATGCAACCTGGTGTTGGAGAAAGGTGCAGTAGAGGGTGTGGCAATGCCAATCGTGCACTGCAGTCTTGGTGCCAAGAAAGAGTGGCTCTCGCCTGGTCCGCTGCCCACCTGTGCAGAGCAGGTCAGCCTCTTAGTGCACTGTTGTTCCATAATGTTTAATGTATCTAGGGACACTAATACAAACCTCTCAGGATTCACATAATCCACTATATTCAAGTTTTGTTGATATTTCAGCGTTCATTTTATAATCCTCGACCCACTGATGTGATCACACAGGAAAAAATAAGTTTCAGGACAGTTATGGCATTAATGTCAGCCTGCCAGAACAAAGACTAATGGGTGATTCTACCGGCTCTGTTATCCAGAAGAGCTAGTAGTCTGTACGGAAGGCCTTTCCTTTGCACAGGTGATTCTCTATACAGCCATTTTAAGTTATCTGTTTCATTTACAGCTCCAATGTTCCTGTGAGAATGTGCGTTGTTGAGCTACAATTGCACATGCTACTGGTTAGAATTTTTGTGATTTTGTGATTTTTTGACCCAGCAGTCCCCTCAGTGTCTATACCAAAGTTTGAACCACGGATCTACTTAGAATGATAAATAGCCCATGTGACATGACTAAATTAATCAGTGTTCCAGAGAGCAGGGAGAGTGTTTTTTTCAGGCTTCACACCACTCTTCATCTATTTTCCCAAGGACATGAAAACATGACAGCTAACTAATGATTTTAATGTATTTAATTGAAACTTAAAATGCAAAGAATATTCTGGAACTGTTGGGTTTATTATACAACCATTTATAACCATTACAACCATCAAACACTGTCCTCACTCCTACTGTACATTATTAGTAAAAACTCAAAACCCATTTCTAATTACAGCTATCAACTATTAATTCAATATTTAACTAACTAACAAAACAAAACAAAAATCTAATTGCAAACTAGTCTTTACACTGAAAGCAGTGGTAGGAAACTTTCCCACATTAGCAGTGAGTTGTCCCTGTTTTGCAGTCCTGTTTGCAGCTCAGGTCTTTTTAAGCCCAATACATGTTAAAGTGAAGATCAGTACACTTACACACAGTCACACAGCAGAAGAGACCTGCTGTACCCACTGATGGGTAAGCTCCTCTGATGGGAAAGCTCCTCTTTGCTTGATTTAGCACAACCATGCCCGCTTCAGCTCCAGCTGAGGATGTAAATCCCCGTGTGACAAGACATGTATTTCTGATAAGGATAGTTTATGAATAGTCTTATCGGTGCCACTTATCAAAATGAGAATTTTGTCATTGTGGCAGCACCCATTCCATCTCTCAGTACATTTACATGCACAGTTAAGTCTACGGTTTAAACTCAGCTAAGCCATTTAATTGGACTACTGTCCTTATCCCAGTGTACAAGCATGGGAGGGGAATCGATTTATTAACTCAAGTATGTCCGTGGTAGGTGGCAATATGCCCCCTTTCAGCTTATTAGTATTGGACTTTTTTCCGGTTGACCTATTACGTCACAGACCAAACAATGACAAACAAGTTAGCTACAGTTTGCTAGCAGCAAACTGGTACCATGGTGGACAACTTCTCTGTACATTTTGTCCGTCCAAATATGCATGGCTCTAGATGTAGATTTTGCCATGTTTTTACTGGATTCTTCTTCTATCATGCATTTAATGCTATCTGACTTCCGGGTCAAAGCCTGGGGCGGAAAACTGTGAAGGCTTGTGTCATACTTTTTGTGTCATTTTTTGTCTTTTATGAGCTGCTGGACAGCTGAATTTCCCTTTGGGGATAAATAAAGACCTTTCTATTCTATTCTATTCTATTCTACAGACACAGCTATCCTCTCTTTCTTCTATCCAAGACTGCCATTTCAACCATAGGCGGCCGGCTAGTCAGCTAACTTACTAATTCCACTATGCTATCATGGTACACCGGTCCATTTCAATAGATCCAGGTCAAGTTTGTGTTGTGTGTTGTTCCTGTCCTTGTCCAGTGTCAGAACAGGTCACCTTTGATCCAAACAGTATGTAGCCTATGGAGTAAATATGCAGGCTGAAAGTGCACACAATGAAACAGCTCACACGGTTGCATGAAAAATGTAATTAAAAAAAAAAAAACCCTAAAAAACCCTAATACTTCTGCTTTATCCGCCAAGAGTTCCATCAGGACCTACAAGTCCTCTCCTGGTGCCCAAAACACTAGGTAACCGAGGCCACAGCTGTGCATCTCATCTTCCTTGTAACAGCTCTGACCAAAGCTCCACATGGAACATTTTTATTTTTCAGTTACAATACAAGTAGACGTATGGCTGTGATGACAAGAAAGATGTGATAAATATGTTGGTAAATTTTAAAGTGGTGCTCCCAGAAACCAAACAAGTGTTATTTTAAAACTTCTAATTTATTTGTATGTCATTGCCAGAATCATGGCAATGACATAATATTAAAATGAAATAACAAACTATTGAGTTTGCTATTTTTCCCCCTATAAATCAGGCAAATCTAACAAAATTGAACTTTTGAAATTATTCCAGAAAGAAAATACATGTAAAGAACTATTTTTGGTTGTTTCATTTTATGCAACTCCAGAGGTATTTACAGTAACTGCAGATAGTTGCTCTATGTATAATTGTGATAAGAGTATGCACCATTATGTGGAAAACACAGTGACTGTCAGGATCTTTAGCATGTCATGAAAAGTCAACTCATGACCATGGCAGTATATTTCAGCTGCTGTATTCCTACTGAAAGCTCTGTGCATCTCAGACACCTCATAACAGAAAGAGCTCTATGTTTAAAGGGGATGAAGTTTAAGAGTGTGATTGGCCTTGATTGTCACAACTTGTACACACCTATCTATAATGTAAGATGATGTATTCTTTTTGATCCCTGCAAATGGGCCACAGGTGAACCAGATGAGCCTGACTACCAGATTACCAAAAGCACTGGGTAGCACTTGGCTGTGACCTGGGCTTCACCACCAGCTGACCTTGACCTTTCAAATGTCTTGTCTTTTTTTTTTTAGGTTCCCACTCTCTTGAGTTCTTGTCTACAGGACATGTGCAGCCTGGAAGTCAACCCTTATTTGACCAACTAACTGTATTTGATAGAGTTCCCATCTCTTACTGCGACACCCTGACAAAAAGAGAACAAGTCAAACCTATCCTGGCATCAAAAAACTTCCCCAAACACTGTTATGATGCAAGTTATGATATCTCATATCTCCACAAGATTCCACCATTTATCAACAGCACAGCGTGTAAGTTTTTAAAATATGTGTTTTTGTGACATGTTGATCACATTTTAATCAGCAGCTGTCTGATGTCGTGCACCAAACACATAAAATTAATTTCGCTGTCTTCCTGTATAGATGTTGTTCAGCGGCGGCGTGGCTGCATCCAATCTGCTGATGGGATGGTGTCAGGTTTTGAAGTCTGGGCAATGAATGGAAAGGACTTTATAAGCTTTGACCCTGGAACTAAAAGATGGATGTCCCAGTGTCCTTCTGCAATAACAGTTCAACATCAGTGGAACAAAGAGAAGAATATGAACTTTGCCTTTAGCCACTTCATCAAAGAAGAATGTCCAGAGATGATCCAGACGATTCAATTAAGATCAATACCACAAAAAACAGGTGAGAGCTAGAAGAATGCAATTACTGTCCGCATCAAACACTGACATGTAGCTACACACACACACACACACACACACACACACACACACACACACACATTTCGTACAACAAAAAAAAATGCAACATGTTCTCATCCCAAGTCATCACATATCACTGCTTTGTCAGTGGACTTTTACGTCTACATATTACATGCTAGGTATCCTCCTGCACCTGCTGTTGACATTCCAGGACATCACAAATAATGCTGTCACATCAACAAAAGCACATGGTTAGGTTTAGGCAACAAAAGCATTTGATAAGGTTTAAAAAAAACACATCATGGTTTGGCTCTACATTAATGGGAAGCACACACTAATTTAGGGTTCAGTATCATACATAAGAACACTCTGGACGGACTGGAGAAACCCCAGATCTTCCAATTAGTAGAGGGCCTGCTCGACCTCCTCAGCCACAGCCACCCCATAATCTCCTCAGTGACATTAGAGATGGAGCCAATCAGAGTCTGGAGGACATTCCAGGACACCACTGTCAACGTCACTGATAGCATCAATGAATTCACTGAGTCTCTGGTGAATTTAATTCTTAAAACAAAAGAAGCAACTTTACCCAAAACTACTGTTAAATCATTTCGCATACTCAACTTGTATGATTTCATATTGCAAATGATTGATTGATTGATTGATTGATCAATCAATCGATTGATTGAGAAAGTATTTGTGTGCCTTGCCCTCCTCTCCATGTGTTATCAAGTAAGTTAAACTGTGAAATCCATGTGCCAAAGACACTCATGAGATGTAATTGAAAAGCTAGTAAAACTACTATTTCCAAGGTCAAGAATGAACTTTCTGATTATGATCTTTGATATTTCTTTATTTCTCCCCAGAGCTACATATATTTGCCAAGTCCACTGAAAACAAAGACAAGGTTCTGCTGAGGTGCCACGTGACAAGTACTGACAGATCACTGAGCTCAGTGCATCTCATTGGAGATGGGGCTTCCAGGGCCAGTTCGATCACAGTCATGGGACCAGTGCCTTCTGGAGACGGATCTGTGATCCTCAGACTGACAGCTAGGATCTCCCAGAGCCAAAACACCAACACGTATGGCTGCACAGTACAAACAGGAGATCACAACATCACTGTCTTTTGGGGTGAGATCTTTTTTGAAGTCAGGCAATAAAAATGAATGTCAAACTTTAGTTAGCATTGTACCAGAATTGGGTATCTTCATGGGTCTACAATTTATGTTCAATGCCAACATTCAGTGTCAGTGCAGGAATTAGTGAGTTCGTCACTGAGGGAGATGAAACTTATGGTCAGTGTGGTGAATGGATGTGTGCCATGTCTGTCCATTATGCAGGAGATCATATCTCACATACTGTCATGGACCAGCACCAAGTGCCCTATCTTTCACCTGGCAGAAAGCAGCACACAGCACAGCGCAACAATTATTATTGTCTGGGTCTACCTCCTGTGTGGTAGTATAGGTAAGGTAAAGAAGGTTGTTGGGTTGGTGTGGGGAGCAGTGAGAGCTGGCATTAGGGGAGTGTCTCTGGGATGCCAGAGATCACTGTCTAGCCTCCTGGAGGTGTCGTGGGACCAACTAGACGAAACACTGGTGAAAGGAGGTTCCCACCCGATGACCCCAAAGACATGTTAGTTATCACTGCTCACTGGTCTGTATAGTTAAGCCTTGCCATAATAGCTTATCATAGGGCTTAGGAGGTTAACTATGCTACACTGTCCCCATGATCTGCAGTGGTACTGCTTTGTTTCATCCATATCAGTTTTCATGAAACGTGCAAAAATACGGACGAAATAAATGCAGAGTACAGACAGAGGGCACCATCTGTCTCCTAATCCGTATCTAATCTGAGCATAAATGAGCCCTTAAGATGAGGTATGGTCTGGTGCATTGTTGCGCCCAACAAAAACCTGATCTGAAGTCAGAATGGTACAGTATTTCCCTACAATTTAAATGGCACATTATTCAGATCGTAAGATGCGCCTACATAGGTAAGTTAACACACAAAGGGATGTGAGGGTGGGTTGAGTTTGTGTGAAATAACAATAGAGAGGAAATTTAGTGATTAGTGATTCTGTAAAACGTGAATGTAGCAGAGAGCAGAACTGAGATAGAATGGACCACTTTGCTGATCAGAATGGGTATTCAGGATCCTATTTCATTACAGATGGGAGTACTCTTGATGGCAGATACCTTCTTCACCTGTCAAGTGCCCACTGGAAAATTCTGACAGTAATCCTTGGATTCTGCTGCACTGTGTTTGCAATCACTATTCTGTCCTGTGCAACTATATTTCTCCTCAAATGTGGTAAGACTTACTCAATTCACTTGTAAAATACTCTACATATGTTGGTCACAATTCTTTTATAATCAAATATAAGGACTTGTCATTAAACTATTTACTTTGTATTATGTGTTAAAAAAAAAAAGACAATTTCTTATCAGATTTTTTTAAAACTATCTAACTAATTAATATCAATTTAGGTACTGGCCTTTATTGGTTGGGCTATTTGTACATGTTAAGAAAATTCCTATGTGTTAAAGGGAAATTTTGGTTTATTTCAACCCGTCTCCTATCGTCCTAAATTAGTTTCAAGTCACTAGTGACATAGAAATAATAGTTAGCATGTTAGCCGTTAGCCTAGATACAGCCGTAGCATCAGACCTGTTGAAACTTAATTGAATGGGCATCCTTTCAAGTGCAAAATTAGTCCACTAAACAAGCTTTTTCTCCACAAAGACCACCTCATATTGTTAGGATAAATGTCAGAGAACATATAGAAAACGACATGTAAACGTGTTGTCTTACCTTACCGGTGTGCTGCCATGTTTGTTGTTTACCATTTAGCTAAGGCTGCAACCGGTCCCATTCCTTGTAACAGAGGTATTCCTCTTCTGTGGGCATTGGGGTACAGCATTCACAGGTAACGTTACACCACCAATCTCCAGAGCTAAAGCCTTCCAGCAGCCATTCCTCCTCTGTCGTCCTCTAATGTTACCTGTTGTGCCTCTCTCTCTCTCCTTCTCCGTTCTTCACTTTCACAAAGCTCTTTGTCAGTGTATTCTGGCTCAAATAAATAAGGGCGGCCATAAAACTCTGCAAAATCAAATTCCTCCTCCACAAAGTCGAAGTCTGGCAAAAAGTCAGCCATTATTCTATAAATCTTTCATAAAATAAATGAATGAACCTTTCAGGCTACTGTCCAGTTCTGCCTTGCAGCTGCTGCGGCTTGTTCTCGCGAGATTTCGGCCGCGCTTTGGGAAGCAGAGGTAAACAGTAAACACACGGTAAGGTAAGACAACAACTCTGAAGACCACCTAAATGTGGAATGTTAGTGTATAGGCTTTCCACACCGAGAGGCGATGGTCGCCCTTATTTATTTGAGCCAGAATACACTGACGAAGAGCTTCGTGAAATTGAAGAATGGAGGAGGAGAGAGAGAGAGGCACAACAGGTAACGTTAGAGGACGACAGAGGAGGAATGGCTGCTGGAAGGATTTAGCTCTGGAGATTGGTGGTGTAACGTTACCTGTGAATGCTGTACCCCAATGCCCACAGAAGAGGAATACCTCTGTTGCAAGGAATGGGACCAGTTGCAGCCTTAGCTAAATGGTAAACAACAAACATGGCACCACACGGTAAGGTAAGACAACACGTTTACATGTCGTTTTCTATATGTTCTCTGACATTTATCCTAACAATATGAGGCGGTCTTTGTGGAGAAAAAGCTTGTTTAGTGGACTAACTTTGCACTTGAAAGGATGCCCGTTCAATTAAGTTTTAACAGGTCTGACGCTACGGCTGTATCTAGGCTAACGGCTAACATGCTAACTGTTATTTCTATGTCACTAGTGACTTGAAACAAATTTAGGATGATAGGAGACGGGTTGAAATAAACTGAAAATTCCCTTTAACTAAGGAGTATCACAAATTTAGAATAATAGAACTTGAGTGGGCAGTGAAAGTCTTTTCACCATACATTATACTACCATCTGTTATTTGTGCCATCCTCACAGAAATATATGCAGAAGGAAAAAAATAGAGAGTCTTTACAAACAACATCCAGCTCAACATCAGGATACTTAACTGCTGTCATAGAGAAACACTTGAAAGTGTTTAGTCTCTACTAAATGAGATGTAACTGCCAGTGTGTCCTAATTGTAAATCCAATTCTCCTTGTAGTGAAGAAGAAGTCCTCTCCTCCTTTGCAAGTTGATCCACAGCTGATGGAGCAGTTTAGCAGGATGATGGGGAGTGTTGCTTCTCCAGATCTGCAGAGTGTTCTTTTTTCATTTACGCAGGGTACAGAGGGAAACAGAGAGTTCCAGGAGCAGTGGGAGGTGAGCATTAGGCTAAGGGATCAAAATTACTATGATCCAGAGTACTTTGGTCATCAAGTTGGAGCATGTTAATAGATCATTTAGAAATTAAGCAGGGAATAAAAAATTCAAGAACCAGTAAAATTTGAAATATCAACTGAAAACATTTCTCAGGTAACTATTTAATGTATAAACCTCACTGAGAGTTAAAACACTTAATTGCAACTCAACTTATATTGCAGTTATCCTGTACATAACTGCCATTTAAGGCCACAGTGATAGCCATTCAGCAAACGCTACATATTCTTACATTAACACTAGAACCACCTGTAACTATTGTTGTGTACCTAAAACTGCCAATTGGTAAAATTTACCCGTTATTAAAACACATTGATTTTCAAGGCACAAGATGTTGTAGAATGATAATAAATGAACCTGATGCTAATCCAGCATGGTCTTATTCCCAAGTTCTCAAATAGTACCACTTGGTCATTGATACCCGTTACAGACACGTCAGTATGATACACTATTGGGTGGCGTCGGTTTAAAATGTCACCGGACAACAACGTAATATAAGGAGCTGGAAAGTCCCTTTACAAGACTGTATGCATCTAATGAACAGAAATTGTTCATTTCCTGTGTATTTTGACACAGTGCCTGTAACAGGCGTAAATTGACACGCCATCTCAGAACATCAACCACAGACACACCCAGGACACAGCAGCAAATTGTTATTAGTTGAAAGTGAGAATGCATTGGCTAATCACATGCTATCATATGGTAACATTTATTTATTGTATGCTACTCACAAAATAACAACAAAATAGTATAATAATAAACATAATAAACTTGCATTTAAAAGTCCCATGCCCAATGTGAAATTATAAATCTCTTTCTCTTGTCCACAGTGAAGGTTAGCCTATGACTTGATGCCACTCTAATACACACAGTCGTAGACAAATGGCATTGCCATAGCAACATGTAGTTTTTATCTAAACGCGCAAAATTAATTTAATTAATTGTGAAAAAAAAAATACTTTTTTTTTTATGTGCTCTCCTCAGGGGAAAATTTACCTGCAGACGCTTAATAGATATAAATGGCTTTTTTGTTTGTTTGTTTGTTTGTTTTATCTTGACAATATTCAACAATAGGGGGTGCTACATAACATACTTTTAGAAAAGGTCAAATACTGGGGGACTTAAATATTAAATATTTTATTGACATTAAGGGCAAGTAAATGTTATCTATTGGTGTTTCTAGTGTTAAATATATGCATCAATAAAAATACAAGACTTTAAACTTTGTTATCACTCCTGATGAGGAATCTCATGAAAAACACCTTATATATTGCAATAGCATTTCTTTCCTTTAACACACTGTACATCATTATACTGTAAAACTTCAGTTAAAAGCTTAGTTCCAGTTAAATGCCCAGTTCATTTTTCTAGCCCAGTTTGGCAACAAATAAACACCTGTCTCATGAGATGCCCAGTCTGGTCTGTATAAAACCAGATTTTTGGGTTCCCACTTTCAAACAGGAGAAGCTCACTTTAAGTTTACATCATAAAATCTGTCATATTGTAACGTTAACGAGGCAGTAACTTATAAAAGGAACATTTAATGTTGAAGCTGTTTTTCAACCACACTCATGCCATAGAACCACAGCAAAACACACCTCAAAGATTCAGATGGGTTTAAACACCTGAACTGTGGTGAAAATGAGTTTTATGGCTTATGGAAATAAGGAACTCCGGACGGCACTCTGTCAGAAGACTCTACTCGCAAATATCTGCATGGGACTGAGCTCAAAATGCGACGGTGCCGGTGTGTATTTCAAAAGCACTGTCAGTCACAAAGGGGTTCAGCTTTTTAGACAATTCCCCCAATCATCATGCATACACTGAGCGTCCTCTCCTGCCTACCGCTCCATTAGGTCCCAGGAAAGCTGAGCCTCCCTGGAAGTGACAGTTTTGTCACATTTATCCAATGACAGTCTTGTTTTGCTGCGTGAAAAAAACCTGCTCAGCACTCTCATAGGAATGCTTAGAGGCTCTGCGTCCACCGTGCTGACATGAGAATGTATGACAGGGAGGTCACGTTTGAAAACTGCTGATAAACAGCTGACGTTTGAACATCATAGTAATGATGTGAAACACATCCCAGCGCACGTTTAATGCAATGTAAATTCATATTTTAATGTAAATTCAATAGTGCATATTTGACCATTTCTTCTATGAATTTTTAGGGGAAGTAGAGTTGACAAAAGTTAGTAAAGTTTAAAGTTTAAAAGTTTAAACTTTTGTCAATATGGAGATGCTACACATCGTGAGCTGGGTTAGATTCTCCACAATTCAATCGTTAAGTTCATTTTACTGAAAGCATGAGCATCAGAGAAGACCCTAAGTCATTCAGATTTACCAGCACAACGAAAAAATAAGTTGTCATTCCCTTCTTCTGAAGCTGTCATAAAGTCAGAATATGTGTCCATTCTGCGATTACCCAGTAAGTTATTCATATTCCTTTAGTCCGTAAGGGTCCACCGATCAAAAAAAACGTCAGTGTTTTTCATAAAAATTAACCCACGTTGTGATTGATATGTTATTCAAAGCACAATTTTATACAAGTAATATTAATACTAGTTCAAATAAACAATGTGCTCATATTTCCCATCGTTGCTAAGGAACAGTTTTGCGTAAAAGGAATTAAAGGCCTGTCCAATATAGACAACTGTCTCAAATCTAAGCCTGTTGAGTTCAGTGATTTAAGCAAATAATAGCCCAGGCTACCAATTGAAGTTTTATACACTTTATATCATTGCATTAACAAAATGGGCCTATTCTTATTGCTGAAATCTAACTTAAATCTAACTCTATTTATATCTATATTTATATTTAGAGGACCAACCTCCAAAACGACATTTTTGGTATGTGAGATAAACAGTGTCAACAACCACAAGTATCATTAATAGAGAGGCAACAATGGTACTAAAGCAGGAGTGTATTCTGACGGCAGTATCTCTGCAGGATAAATGACTGCAGGTTTAGAAGCCCCGAGCAGCCACTGCTGGTAATCATTTTTCCATCAGAGTATGTGCAATATTATATGCAGGCCTATAGACTTTCTCCAGGCAGGAGTGCACAGTGGGCACGCAGCCTTACCTTCTGTCTGGGCCTTACTGAAATGTATCAACGACTCGCTGGTGAGGGGAAAGTATTATTTATGCTACTATGTGACTTTGCAGCTCAGTTTGCCTTTTTTTTTGTTTATAATGCTGATTTGTATTGTGATTCAAGTGCAGATGTATGTAAATATTGTTCAAACAAAGCTAAGTATTTTTTCTATCGTCATGTGTAGCATTGACCACGTTGTATAATACTGTGAATCTTTTCCGAATCCTCTGCTGCAGATTTACACATCTTCAGCTCTTATGTTCATGTGCTACTATTTAGCATTAGCAAAACACATTTTAGAAAAAACAGCAGATACTTTTTTTATCATTACATCAGACAGAAATACAGTATATGCATAAATGTTTATTTCCATTAGTTTACTCTGCCCTGCATGAACATCAGGAGAAAAGTTTGCGTAGAATGCCCTGTAACACAGTTATGTCTTGCTAAGCTACTTTTCGTTTCCAGTATTATTCAACATACATGTAACATGCTTTTTTTACTTCCACATGCACCAAACATTTATTCAAAGAATAGGATGTTCTTTTATTCCAACCCCTCTTTTTTTGTTATTCTTTTTTTTCATTTTGTGTCACATGGCAAAAGCCAGACCTGAAAACCAAATGTAAGTTTGTGTCACCACACAACCAAAAATACAAACGCAGGATTGGATCAGTATTCTGTATTAGACTGACATGTTTTAATACAAAGTTCAAAGTCCACCAGTATTGTCTTTAAAAGCTAAAGTACACAAGCTTTAATCTTTAAATTATGACATGCTGAGATACAAACAAGTCAAAATCTATAATTAAGGATGTGAATGAACCTCAAATGTATGTTAGAAAAAATCTAATAAAATAAAGTACAGACTGGGTTTAACTGTCCACATTTCAGGGAAGGGCCAACACAGCTTTATTGTATGTTTTTTCTGTTTTTCTTGTCTAACATATTATGTGTAATAAAAACAAATGTAAATCACTCTCAATGTCCCCTCTGTTATTTTGTCTGATTGCTAATGGAGGTTGCAAAAATGAACTTGAATGTTGACACTGAATCATGTCTTTTTCTTAGTGTAAAGTGCATTTTACTTGTTTTTAGTATTTCCAGACAGTTTGTCTCCTTAGAGACATTCATCAAAGTGCTACATAGACCTTCATGTTTAGAAGTCACTCTTGTCTACATCTACAAATCCAACCCTCCAGTCTGTGAGCTGCTTTTACAGCAGCAACCACAAGGGGGAGACAGAAAACACAGCATCAATGTGGAGGACTCTCAGTTATATTAATGAGACTCCATACCAGGGATGCAAATACAAACCATGCAGGTAATGTGGTTGAGAAAGTGAGACCCTAGAGAAAGTGGGCCCTCCGGCAATGTGTTGTATGAAGAATGGGCCTTTATGAGTGATTGCCAACTTGGAAAAATGCTGTTTTAAAAAAAAAAACTCTTACTAAATTAATAACAATGCCATTTGCTATATATGCCCTTGAAAAAGGCAAACCCATCTCATTCATGTTTTTCTTTTTTTTAAATAGTCAATGACATCTATAACAAAATTATATGCTTATTCCAAATACACTAAATATACTATCAGCATTGTTAAATTGATAATTTTTCATTTTCTTTGGTATTTTTGTCATCGGGCCCGTTATAATAGCGTGCACCGGGGCCTGTCGTACCTACTTCACGCCATCACTTCAGACTTAGATTTAGCTTCATAAGAAGAATTTAATTGTGGTTTGACTCTCAGTGTGGCGCACAAACACACAGGCAGGTAAATAGGATAGCCCCTGTTTTTTTTTGTTTTTTTTTTAAATGCATAACAGTAGAGATACTCCAAAAAAGAGGGACTGAGGCATTTTTCCATTTTAAGCTTTCGATTTTACAATAAAATCATCATCGAGAGCAGGGATAGGTAGATAGATAGATAGATAGATAGATAGATAGATTAGTTAAACCTCTACTGAGCAGCAGCACAAAGAAAGCCATGGTACAAATGCACAGAGAATGTAAAATATTGAACAATATGAGATATACTGTATAGAAAGACTAAACTACAGTAAAAAAGGATAAAAACAATAGAAACATACAAAAACACATGGAGACAAGCAGAGTCAACAAGTCTATGTTAACAGTGTACACCAGACTGATCTGATTAAATAGTACTTACTGTAGTGGCACTTAGTCTTTGTCTGTATTAATATAGACATGTAATATCAATATAATTTAGAATATGCTGCAAAAATCAATAACATAGTGTAATATGGTAAATTATGATATTGTATGGAATATGAGATATAGTCGATAACATGATATGTCTCCCACTGACCCCCAGCTCTCTCTTTTAGATCAATTTCAACATTTTTCTGATTATGTATTTGACCTGTAATTTTATTTCCATTTATTTTAAAGATTTTTAGTGATTTAAAAAAACGTTTATAGTATAATACATATGATTTTGACTTACATCACTTATTCACACCAAAGGCCCCATCACTATGCCTGTTTATACCTGGTATTAACAAATGGACAGCTCTAAGTTGAGGTGTGAATGCACCCAATGTGTCCTCAGTTTTGAGATCCAATCATTCAGACCACATTTGTAGGATGTGTTTCATAATTTCACATGTATTTATTTCACGGGACTTTTTTTTCCTAGTTTCACATTAATTTCTCATATCACATCTTAAAGGGTTGAAGCACTGAAATACAGTGGCAATGGCTAATGACTCAGTGGGGGTGACGACAGAATGTAGTAATCACTTTTCAAAAGTATATTTTGCATTAATTTGTTGTAAACAAAAACAAACAAACAAACAAAACATGCCTCTTTTATCTCATGGCCATCCACAATGATATGGATCAGTGTGACAAACAGACATGCCATCCTGCCCCACTCCCCATCATGGGTGTTATAGAGGGGGGAAAGTGTGGAATGAAAAGTTTGGTTTTGATTGTAATCTTTTATTCCAAATAATGAAGCTTGCGAAAGTTCCGACTCTCTTTACACTGTCATTTCATTTACAGATCTCTCTGCCTCACTCCAGCTTCTTCACTATTAGATAGCTATGGGCTTCACTCTAAATTAATCCAAGCAGATTTTGCAATGATCTCCCTAAGCCAATCATGTCACTGCTGTAGAAGTTAAAAGTGTTCTCCCCTCTGTTGCGATCAGTTGTCATTTCAGGATGAACAGACACAACCCACCTCCACCCTATTTTCCTGCAGTCTTACTCACATCCATTGCCCAGTCCTGCTCCTCAGCCCATCATTTTCATCCTTCAGCCATCCCTCTCTTCACCTCCACCACCCGTGTCTAGACTCCATCAAGGTAAATTTTCTGACTACCATGGCATCTCTACCCCCTAAATATACACGTCACAGTGGGGTCTAGTCGCCAAAGAACTTTTCACTATTCCTCTTTATTGCAAAATGGCGCAAAATGGTTTCGTCCACCCCTGCACAGTTGTCTCTGAACTCAGACAGAACCAAGTGAGTGACTGCTTATGCTGCTCAAGTCTTTCTACAAGCAAAGGGATTCCAAAAGAGAAAAGAAAAAAGAAAGAAAGGAAAGGGGAAGAAAGCAATATGAAATTTCAAAAGGTACTTGATATAGACATGGACATGGATCAAGAGAGGAAGGGCAGGGGACCCACAAAGACTACTCACACATAGGGCCCAGAATTTGCTGCTACACCTCTGCCCCCACCCCCAAGTAATAATGAATTCTCTAAAACAAGACCACACCAATGGTATTTTCAGAATGATTTATTACATGTTATGGATAATGAGTAGTCATGGCTGAGGAGGAGAGGGTTTAGGGATGAAGGGATGAGGTTGTTAAAGTTAGAACAAATAAAAAGTCTGTATAGTTGCATTGAATGTATGGGTTTTGTTGTGTTGTTATTTATCATTTACGCTGCTTTTATTGTACCCGTTTTCAGGAACATTGGAGACTGCGTTAAATGCATCTGTTTCATGTTGACAGTTGATGCATATTTTATGTATGATAAAGACTACACAGTATGTAACACAGCTGTCATTACATTACAACCTTACTTGAATTTCAGTTTAGCTGGAGATTGTTTTCTCTCCATCCTATTTTGTTACCATGTGCAACAAAAGCTTAGATTAAAATGACAACGTCCCAGCAAAGCAGTGATTTCATCTGGGTGTCCTGATCCTAATCCACATGATGCTTTTACAAAGATTCACCAAAGACATGTAGACCTGTGCTAATACAGTGTGTGTGTGTGTGTGTGAGTGTGTGTGTACTTGTATTTGCACATATAGGACCACAGCACACATTTTAACCAACAGAGTGAGGACATTTTATAAAGTGAAGTGATGCTGATCCCTCCTTGCTTTTCCAAAGGCCTGTTTGAGCATTGAGACTTGATTTTATTGTTCAGGTTTGAATTAGGTGTGGGTTGGGGTTAGGCATTTTGTTGTAATGGTTAAGGTTAGGGTAAGGGGCTAGGGAATGCATTTTGTAACAAGGGTCCTCACAAAAATAGACGTACAAGTGTGTGTGTGTGTGTGTGTGTGTGTGTGTGTGTGTAAAGGAGATTCAAACCCCACTATTCCCCAGATGAGCTGAAAGTCAGATGACATGTTGTAATTTCACATCACAGCTGTATCGGTCATAAATACGGTTAAACCTTTTCACATGACAGTGTGCACGACTGGATGGAGGGTTTTTGTAAATGGATATGCAATTCCCTCCCTCTCCCTCCCCCCTTCTCTCTCTCTCTCTAAGCTGTAATGCACTCCAACAGCTGGCGTCCTCTCAGCACATCTTCACACACTGAGCAGCCAGTCTGCTGCTGTTGCAGCAGCATCATCCTCTTACACACCACAAACACAACGAGCGACTCTTTGAAAGGCTTGTCTGGATTTTGCATGGATGCTCCTTTTTGCTACAGCAGGGAGTAACAGAAGTGTTTGGGCTATATGGAGGACAAGGTAAAACAATTGCACTTCTTTTCTGTAAAAACCTATAACTGGACAAACTTTAAAACACAAGCCAGCCTCATGAGGAAAAATAATCACATTGAAAAAGTGTTTTTAACAGCAGCAAATGCTAAAACTTCTCTTTGAGACCTACTGAGCATGTGTTTTATATGTTAGCAGTATAAATTACTAGCCTGTAGACATCCATTTACACAATGCTTACACTATTAAGCCTTTATTCAAGGTGACTGAGGATTAGTTTGAGTGCTACATATCACACTTATAGTACAGATGGAATGACTGGGCTGTCTATGCAGTAGAAAGATGCATTTTTTTTAAACTGGTGCTACATGACCAGAGCAAACAGAGGGAAAGGGCTGTGGCAACTGTTTTTGCTTGAGAGTTGGAAAACCTTTAACTTTCAGAATGCACTGCACTGGACCAATAAACACTCCTGCTGGTGGGTGACATGATGTGAGTTGGTTGCTCATCCAAAAAGCAATATGGCAGCTGTCTGGGGACAAATGATCTCATATTACAGTTAAACATTAAGCTTAAATATGTTTCTGAAATTATTTGGGGCAAAAGGGGTCTTTACTCTTTTGGTGTTTCTCAAAGTCAAGGACAGATTCCTAAATGGTTGAATATCAAGAAGGCTACAGATCCCATTAAATCCCAACAAAGGACAGTTCCAGTGTCAAGGATCCTGTGTCTTCACTGAAAGCCAGGAAGGAGTAATGCCTAGCCTCAGCAGGATTCGACTCGGAAGTACCCCTTCTACCAAGAAAACATCCCTGACTTTGAGAAGAACCATTTGTGTCCATGGTGTTGGCATGCGTAACAAAAATAAGGAAGTACAAGTACAATTGAGCAGCAGCCCCAGTGCCAGTGAAAATCTGTATCTATCTATCTATCTATCTATCTATCTATCTATCTATCTATCTATCTATCTATCTCACCTGAAAATGTTTAAATGCAACTTTGCAATAGCAAATAGTTTTGAAAGAAACATAATGCGTCCAGGATTACATTTTTGATCTGCATAATAAGAAAACTGTTTAAATGAAAGCATCTGCAAAGTTATAAAATGTTTATACTGAAAGTATCTTCTTATTCATAATATTCACTGACAACATACTAATATCTGCTCACAGAAACTAAAACAGCAGGAATGTTTTTACTTGGTTAAGATTAGTGAAACATGTTGTGATTTGAAGCCCCAAAAGAACTTGTTCACTTTTTCAGTATTTAACCAAAACCACAACCACACAGTCACATATTTGTAAATGTAAGGAAAAGCTCACAATTTTTCAAGTCTGTCTTACAACAATGTCCATGTGCCCATATGAACATTGAAACAGGTTTTATTTGCCATTCAGACTGGCTCCTAATCTTTCTCCAATGGAGAGATGGGGCACAAACAGTTTCTGTTTAGTACAAAAAAAGTATTGCAAATTTAGTCAAGTAGTAAGTCAAATCAAGTAGGCATCTTCCAAAATAACAGCCTTTTGAATATAAAAACCTTTTAAAGCAACTTCCAGATGGGCAGTTTTTTGTAGATTTTAATGGGGCATCATCTTGGAATGGAGTTTCTGGGTCTGTAAATATATCAATTATCTACATATTTAGCCTAGCTTAGCACAAAGACAGGGGGTAGCTGTCTGTCTTATATACAGACTAATTTGTATATGAAAAAAAAACTAACTTGTGGTTTAGAAGGGACTAATGGATGGAACTATTTCATGAACAATAGTTTATCCATCCACCCAGTACCTCACTGTAGCATTGGCTTTGTAGCCTGGGTTGCCATACCAAAACCAGGTTTTGGTTTTGGATTGTTTTTGATCTCTGTACAGCCATGGTGGTACCAAACCTGGCAACCTCTCTGTGATGGCAAGATTCCAGGAAGCTGCACACAGTTACTGTGCTGACTATTAATCAAGATATAGCTCCAATAACTCCCTGGACATGCCTAAACTTAATTGCTAGGAAAAATGTTGGCATTGTATGTTTCTGCAAACCATGTATATGTTACATATTTATGTTCTATGTGAAACTATATGTTTCAACAATGCTGTTGTTAACCTGTGGTAGGGCAAGGGACAAAAAAAACTTGGTTATAGTTGGGAATAGATCACATTTTGGCTTAAAATACCTGGTTTTGGTGGCACAATCCCAACAGGAAACACAGCGGTGTCTCAGCTTTTTATAACTCTATCCCTGCTGGAAAATCAGCTGCAGGTTGCTTAAAAATATCTATGTTTGGTGCCTAAAAAGCAGTTGAATACACAGCAATGACTTGCTAACAAACAACTGGTTTTGTTGTTTGTTGGTCTTGTACAGTGGTCTGCAGCTTGGCAGGTGACTCACCTGGGTATAAGACCATCCACCATCCCCTCCACCTCCCAATGACAAAGTCAGCTCATACACTACATCACTTAAGAAACGTTGATATGATACATGTTAAATGTGCAAATGTATTTGTGGTTTGCAGAAACGTACAATGCCAAAACAATTCTTGTAACTGGGCTGCATGCATACATTTCATACTGTATTCGGTAAACAGTATAATTGCAAATATACAGAGCCAGACTTCATGGCATGGGATAAGAACATTTACTATACAGAAAAAAATAGAACAATTGTATATGTACAGGTGGGATTCATGAGGAGAACAGTGGAGGTAATGATGAGCCCAAGTGTTTCTGTGTTCACATGCTTTGGGTTCAACACTGTCTATAATCACCATCAAAGATTAAAGCTTGACCCTTGGCATAGAGCATAATCTGACTATCAGCTCAAATACTGCAGCACTGACATGAAATCCTTTGTCATTTGGGTCAGATGATTAACATTAAAGGAGCAGGACAGTCAGCATGAGAATTCAGGTCAGTTTTGTTCAGTGAGTGCTCCAACAACACCATAGCACCAATATTCAGTCTCCTTTTAACCCTGGATTGTTGTCCCCAGTTACGGCCTCTGTAAACAAATCAAGACTCTACAAGAGACCAAACATATAAAGGACGCCACAAAAATTTTCAGAGGGAAAATCAGTAAGTTGTATTACTTAACAAGAATGAAACAACACTTACAACTTAATGAAGGAAACAAAAATGGCTGAAGATCCCAGCCAAAAAATAAAAGATGGGGAAGTTGCTAGGCCAGCCACTCAATGGGCCATCATACCCAGCTCATCCCCATAAACTGCCTAAACCGAAACTTAACTATGCCAAACAAAATCCAAGAATTTAACTACTGGCAATCTCCAACCCAAACTAAAAAAACAAAACCCAACAAGCCAACTCAGGCTGGGAAACAAGGCAGGAAGACCCGTTGATGTCCTTTAAATTTCTTGGATAAAAACAACACGAAATGCTCAACACCATCATCTCCTTCTTAGAGTACAACAGCACTCCCACTCCCACATCACTCCCATCAACAGAGAGTTCGAATAGGCGATCAAAGTCAGGTGTAGAAAGTACGGCAGCATTAGTCAACAAAACCTTTACACACTCAAATGACACTGGCAACTCTGGGATCAGTGGTGAGTGTAGCTGTGACAGCAGAAAAGTTTTTACAAAAAACATCTATAATAGCCTGCCATTCCCCAAAAACCGGCCCAGCTCACATTAGGGACGGCAGGATAGCTTCCACCGTGTACTGGCTTGACTTGACATGACCCACAACTTTACCCAAGTATGCCACTGTAGCTTGGCCAAAGTTGCACTTTGCAAGATAACATTAGCATCACGCAACCTCCCAAACACAGCGTGGAGCTGCGGAATTTGATCGACTCATAAGCACTTAAATGTAACGAGCGTTATGATCACCGAGCGGTATCACTGTGTACTACAAAGAAGCATCAAGGGTCACAAATGCAGATAGGAGGATGCAGAGGATCTGCACAGTCTGGCTTTGAGAACCCATTCACCTCATTAAACTCGGTACAAAACTGTTCTGAGCCATCAGATTTATCAGCTAATACACGTGGTGAGCTCCAGGAACTAGAGCTAGCATGTAGATTACCTGCTTTTGCAGACGACGGCTTATCAGGATTCGCTCTACATGCATAATGTTTAACAGGCAGAGAGTTCCCCACATTGATGTCATGTTGCTGCACAGGGATCTAAGTTGGCTATCTAAAAATAGAGACACGTGAGAGTCAATTAAACTGGCCACATCCTCAAGTTGTGACTTGGACCTTAGCTTGGTAAGTTTGATCCCTTTAGCTGCTACATGCTCCGCTATGTTTACTAGCCAGTCTGTCTGCTGTCTACGCACACACACACACATACACACACACACACACACACACACAAACATTGTTCTAGATACTGTTTTAGCTGGGTTCAAATATTTTTATTTTGTGACAACAGGAATTGCAAGACCCATCATGCCAGAGCACTGCAGGATTGACATCATTCCTCTAAAGGTGGGTAGGAACATATTTGTTGTACAGTACAGTATATATTTATATACATCTATGAATGTATGTATGTGTGTCAGCAGTGATGAGTGAACAGGCACTGGTCCATGTGCCTTCATCACCATGCCAGGGCCCTGGTTACCAGACGGCCCTGCACCGAGCCGCCACAGTGGGGAACAGTGATGCCATGGCTGCTCTGATTCAGGGAGGCTGTGCTGTGGACCTGCAGGACAAAGTGAGTAGAGGACACAGTGTACATGTCCAAACTCTGTCACACAGAGGAAAATCATTCATATATTCTCAGATTGTGTAGTTGATTAAATGATGATAGTTTGTGATGAGGATACTGTATCCAATATGTGTTTGAGGACGGCAACACAGCACTGCATGAGGTGTCCTGGCACGGCTTCTCTCAATGTGTGAAACTGCTGGTCAAGTCAGGAGCTGATGTACACATCAGGAACAAGGTAGGACAATCATAACAATATACTTTACATTTCAAAACATATCATTTACACCACACAAGGACTACTTATTCTATGTTTCTGAAACTTTTATCCACATCTTGTAGCCTTGCACAGCGGACAGAGTTGCTTACTTTTCAAACGACTGTTCCAAAGTCCTTTACAGAACATAAATAAAGATGAGAATATGGCTAAACCAGGGGTGTAAATATAGACAGTGCAAGCAAAGTGGTTGCACTGGGGCCCATGGGGTGAGGGGGCCTGTAGAGAGTGGGCCCTCCAACTATATGTTAGGCAGAAAACAGGCCCCTGTGAGTAATTTAGGTTGCCACCTTAGAAATATGCCTGTGTTCAAAGAAAAACCTCACATTTAATTTAAAACTTTCCATACCCATTGATAGCTTTGTTAACTTCAACCTATGCCAGTCCTCAATGCCTATGTGCAGTTTCACATAGATTGACCACGTCAGTGAGTAGAAAAACATGGGACAGACAGAATGACTGACTGACAGAATGACACACTGACAGTTTTTCCGTGATTATGTACAGCATACCATACCATGACTTAGTCATACCAAAAATTAGAAAAAAAAACAGCATTCGGCCACAGGGGGAGCCACAGCGATCGGTCGCATTTTAGCCATTTTTAAGCATTTTTCTGTTGTTATAGCGCCACCCAGTTGCCAATTAGAGTTAAATTTCTCCAGTCACCTTGAGGCGTCCTGTTCTACATATCTACCAAGTTGAGTAAAAATCGATATGGCGGTTAGGCCTAGATAAGAAATTAGCTCTCTAGCGCCCCCATTTTGTTTGATGGGGTCAATAATGGAGGGGTCCCCTCAGATTATGTGTGGTCATATGCCTGCAAAGTTGCGTGGTGATCGGTGAAACCCTTGAGATGTTTGGTCCCTTGATGATGCTCACCGAGTTTCAAGCAAATCGGTCAAACTTCCTAGGAAGAGATCGATTTTAAGTGTTTTTTAAAAAATTCAAAATGGTGGAAAATCTATATAACCGGAAATTATGGGTTCTTGAGGCAAATTTGTTCCTCATGAGGAGAGGCATCTCTGTGCAAAGTTTCATGTCTCTACGACATACAGGGCATGAGATATGCCCATTCAAAGTTTGCAATTTTAATCGGTTGCTATAGCGCCCCTCTTTGGCCAATTGATGTAATATTGCTTCCTTCGCATCCTCCCATGACCCTCTACCACTGTGTCAAATTTCATATGGCTTGACCAAGTCAGTGAGGAGAAAAACGTGGAACAGACACACAGACAGAGTTTTCGTCATTATATAGTAAGATGCCAGCTTTATTCTTAAAGAAATACTTCACCAACAAAATGACCATTGACATACCAGTTACTCAGAGTGTGTCAAACTGAGTTTGTAAAGAAAACATGTTTTGTTATCACATGAAATGTGGTCCCTGTTTACTTCAATTCATAAAGAATATTCACCTTCTTTGGATGTTCTGTCCACCATGGAGGCATGAGAGATAAAGTTCTCTTCCACACTTCAAAGTAACACATGGTGAGTAATTGATTTACAAATGGTAATTTTACAGGTGAAGTATTCCTTTAAAGTGCATGTTCTAAAGTTGCTTACATACCCACTATGACGTGACAGGAATGACTCTATATTCCAAAACACCTGCCAAATACTTCCAACAATGTGGACTGTCTTCTGGCTGTTTATCCTGTCAGAGCTATGATGTTACATGCTCTCCAGCCCAGTCTGTTTTGTGTTGATTCAGGCAGGAAACACAGCACTCCACTTGGCCTGTCAGAACGCACATGCTCAGACTGCTCGCCTCCTGCTGCTCGGAGGATCCACACCAGACACCAAGAACAACGTGAGTCTTCCAGCATCCCATAATGCACTGAGATGCTCTCTCCTCAGAGACTAACACAAGATTTCAAGAGTAGTAGACTCATTGCTGTGTCACTATGACACCACTGAGCTCTGGTACTATTGACTGTTGAACAGTGAGGAATAGTTTCATGGTGCTGTCAGTGCATCACTGAAAATGGAACTGTGCTTTGGTTCCAGATGGGTGACACCTGCTTGCATGTGGCTGCTCGCTACAACAACCTGACGCTGGTAAAACTGCTGCTCGGTTCTCTGTGCTCTGTGACAGAGAGAAACCAGGTACAATATGTCTGTGTAATCAGAGTATAATTACAGCCCATACAACACAAACAATTAAAAAAATCCATCACACTCATGTCGGTAAAACCATTTTCATACTGTTTTTGTGTCATTACTGTGGTGTGTGTGCGATTTCAGTCGTGCTTTTGTCTTGTATTATTGGCTTGTATGAGTGGGATCATGAATGGATTGCAACCTAAGGCCTTTCAAGTTTCCCAAATGCTCAAAGCGCTTTAACACAGCATGTCACATTCACCCATTCACACACACATTCCCACACTGGTGGCCGAGGCTACCATACAGGGTGCCACCTCAGTTACACTAAACATTCAGACACACTCAAACACTGATATCACAGCCAGCGGGAGCAATTTGTGGTTCAGTATCTTGCCATGACATGCAGACTTGAGGCGCCGAACCCTCTCCACCTCCTCCACAGCTGCCCCTATATTTATGAGTTGAGCACACTATGTCCCCTCCTCCAGCATACATTTATTTCCATTTTCTTCCTGTCCACCTGTTTCTTAATTCCCTTAATTTTTGCCTTACAGAAATAAGAAAAACATCATTCAACTAACAAACAAGGATTATGCACATTTACAACGTATAACATGGATAAAATGTATAATTTCACTTCCAACAGACATTTCAATTTTGTCACACAGAAACATTTGGTAAGAGAGTGGAGGGCGTGATTTCCCCAGGGCAATGCAAATGGACAGGATGTGGTTGAGAAAAGAAGCATTGTCTCACGACAGCTAGTGGGTCGTTCATCACCGCGTTTTGTCCCGAGGCTGGATACTTTAAGATGGTATCTGAAACTTGAGGGATCCCAAGTGACTTTTTACTTTCTTTTGGCCTAAGGATGGCTGAAAGAAGCGTTTGTCCAGTCTGGGGTAATACAGGGGTTGAGTCCTAAACATTTGACCCCCGGTGGTCTCGTGGGTCTTGTTCATTGATAATATTGGTTTAACCCTATGGGCCCGAACAACGCACAGTACGTCCAAATTCACACCTGTTCTTCTCTGTGGATTTTCTCCGCGACCATGCGTCATAGCGAGAAGCCATGCATATCACGTGAAACAGCAGAATCATAGCTTTCCAACAATACCAAGCACTTGTCGGTAGTTCAATGTTTTCACAGCGAAAAAAATGATAAAGTTACACTAAAATTATGTATAACATACAGCTCTGCACACACATTACTCTTGGATGGATTACTCGCGAATGCAGGCTCGCACAGAAATGCCACGCATATCACATGAAAGCATAGGAGCAGAGCTTTCCAGTGATAACACACACATCATTGTGCTGTCATCCCATCACGCTATAAATCCAGATTAATTGTCTACAAAATAAAAACCTGAGGAATTTCTTTACAATCCATTATACAGATCTTGTTATCAGTCACTTCATATAGTGAGGAATATCGTATCTTACCACATCTTACGCTTGCGTGTGTTTCTCCCTGTCTATCCACATTTGTAGTCCGGCTTTCAAGATGCAAATATCTCCATATTGTCCAGTTGACACTCCATCAAACTTTGTATGACAAGACCAGCCACTTCACCTTTGTGCACCCAGACAACTGCAGCCTAATTATGCATGCATGACAGGGTCGTAGTCACCATATACATTGAGGGGGACATGTGTCCCCCCCAATGCCCAAAATGCCCCCCAATATATAACTGAAACTGAAAAACAACAACAAACTTTGTTTACTGCAAACAAAGTGGCAAATATTATCTTGGAGGACATCATTGCACTTGGTTGACTATTTTTCTATGATCTTAGATGTAAATATTGCATGTTTCTTTCAGATAAAACACATTTTTGACTTGTGAATGAGTCAATGGAACTTCTTGCAGTAATGAAAAAATGCTGGCAATTATGTCCGCCTGGCACAAACCACATGTTTTGGACAACTGTGAAGTGACAGAATGTCCCACCATCATGGTTCTTATATTGCCAGATTCCAGAGAGTCTCCCCTCTGCATATATGGCAGAATATGTCTTCTTCCAACCTGCTATGGTGAGATACATGTAAAAATGTAAGAATTTAGTCACACGGATGTTTTTTTCATTGATATAAAAAAATAATATAAAATACAGGAACATAGTAGGACATGAAATGATGGCAAATCTGTTAGCCCAGATTGTCCTGAAAAAAAAAACAAGATATAGCATGTGTATGTAGCCTTTAGAATGACTCTGATATGAGCTTAAAAGTAAAGGCAGTAAAAATACCCCAAAAACGGCTAGGGCCCATAGGGTTAAGGGAAGTCCAGAGAGGCTGTTCCTCTACATGTGATTTTGTTGTTTGTAATATTTATGATTATTTTGCTCACCTAAACAATTAATATTCCTATTATTACTATTCAATTGATCACCAGTCACTTGACGCGCTGTCAGCTGTCAGTAGGACTTCTGACAGTTGTCAATTAGCTGTCAAGCTGTCATCTGTTTGCAGCTCAGTTGATGTGACGTATTGTCCGCTGTAAAGACGATTGTGAGTCAGAATAGCAAGAAAAGCATGCTGGCTTACATACTGCAAAATCGGACCAGATGTAGTAGACATACTATGTATTGGGACATACTAAATCTTTTTCTGGCATAATAAATAGTATACCATACTATTCAGTATGGGTATTGGAATATACAGTTAGAGTTTACCTGCCTGCCTGTACCTTTTCCCTGTCTCATTTCTGTTTGCCAGTGAATTCTCAGTCACTTGTGTTTAGACTTACCACCCTCACCTGGATGTTCAACAAAGCGAGATTAATATGTTACCAAGGTATGTTGAGCCTAAAGCCAGAGTTCTGAAAGGTGGTTCTCTTTTAACATGGCTAGATCACCATGGTAATTCATGCTACAGAGCAGACCTTCTCTGAAGCAGGTTACGTTCAGAGTTTTAGATTGAAAAGGTTCTCTACTAGGCAGCTGTGGCTCAGAAGTTTGAGTGGGCCATCCACCAATCAGAAGATCAGCAGTTCAATACCCGGCTCCTCCTGTTTGCATGTTGAAGTATGCTTGGGCAAGATACTGAACCCCAAGATTGCTCCTGATGGCTGTTCCATCGGTGTGTGAGTGTGTTTAAACTGAGTAGCAGGTGGCACTTTGTATGTTAGCCTCAGCCACCAGTTTGCAAATTGGAGAATGTAGTGTTAAAGTGGTTTGAGTGGCCAGATGACTTAAAAGGAGCTAAGTGCAGGTCCAGTGCAGGTCCATTTACCACTCTCTTTTGGGAGTGTTTAGAGGCTGAGTAGATCTGAAAGCTTTTCCTGACAACATTCTCTGTGAGAACTGTGTGATTCTCAGCCGAAGGAATACCTCATTGTCCACACTGGCTGTAAAAGAAGCCTTGGTTAGTCTGTTATTATTTATTTAAAGATAATATTCCAACAATAAAATTAGATTCACTTTGATTTGGCCAAAAACTAGAGTGTTGTCCATGTGGCCTTCAGTATATGACAGTGTCACGCACATGCAGTTTTTGATTTATAATGTTAAAATCTGCTACATCAAGTTTAAGTGTCAGAGCTGTAGAATGTGCAGCTGTCACGTAAATAAAATATATTCACTTACATAATTTACTCAGCAATTTTCTGCCAGCATTCCTCTCTTGCCTTATTTTGTGTCGTGGAAGGGTCAAATGATGTCATATGCCCTTTTTTATGGTAGTGCAGATAGAGCCTGAGGAAGAAAGCCTGAATTAACAGAAAGTTAACCCTCTGTGGTGATACCTATTATCTCTAATTGGGGTTTTAGGTTTTGTCAAGGCAGCTAACGCAAAGAAAGCCTGGAACTTGCATTATTTTTCCTTGTTAGAACTTCTACATTTAAACTCAAGTAAATATTCACATTTTTTTTTAATTTGATATTTGTTGAATTGTATGCTTGTCTGTAGAAGAGTGTTGCATGATGACCTTATTTACTGAGCATTTTCCAAAAAAATGTGACCATGCAACACAGTTCTTTCTTTGGAAATAATGAACCGGTGAAAAGTGTCACCAGTAGAGAAACTGCAGACAAGCACACATGCATACTGTACTGTATATGTGTCTGTGTTTGTCTATAGTCAGGGGACACAGCTCTTCATGTGGCTGCTGCTCTGAACCATAAGAAGACAGTTCAGCTCTTACTGGAGGCAGGGATTGATGGGAAAATCAGAAACAATGTAAGTTCCACCTAGACGATGAATGCCTAGTCCTTACATACTTACAGTGTAATTACCCTGATATCACACAATAACTAACTAAAGATTTAAATCACTTAATTTCTACTCAACAAGTGGGGCTCATAACAATGATATTAACTGTAGTCCCTGTCAGATAATGGCACTTTTGATACTAAATAGGAACACCATCAACACCTCAAAGGCATTAGGAGTGTGGGTGCTCACAGGTTTCAGTCTCAAGGGTTTTTGTTTGTTTTTAACAGACCCTCACCAGAGCATTGCTGCCTCTAAACATTGAGATTTTCACAGCAGGTCTCTCCAAATTTCATCAAAATCTAAGGCCCTCTAAAGTTAAACAGTTTATCCTGTTATCTCCTGGGTGAAAGTGGGGTGTTGTTGAGCCCAGCCACCTCCCCTCCTGCCCTTCCTATAGGGACTTTTTAAGACCTTAAATTATGTTGTTGTCTGGTGGCATTTCAAACTGACAACATCTGACAGCGTATCATACCACTGCATCACTGCTCTGCAATCAATGGCCAAGCAGCAGTGTTTGACTTTGGAATGAAAGCTGGTTGCTTATTAGCCTAACCTGCGTGTCTTTAGACCGTGGTAGGAAGCAGGAGAACCCAGAGAAAACTCACACTGACATGGGGAGAACATGCAAACTCAACACAAAAAGGCCCCAGCTAGCCGTTTCAAACTTGGAAACTTCTTGCTGTGAGGTCACAGTGCTAACCACTGCATCACTGGGCCACCCTAGCTTTATATTAGCTTGGTAGAGTTTATCTGCATTCAGAGATTAGCTGAAATCAAGCACCATTTCTCCAACTTTTAATGCAGGCGTTTTGTTCCAGATGACATTACCTAAGTTATTTTATCTTTGAAATGCTGTCATTTGAGATATTAAACATCTGATATGGATTGCAGGCTAAATACTCCATCTCATAATGAGTTATCTGAACTTCATTTGCCCCTTAAAAAGCCCCTTTATTTAAACAATGAGATGAATAATGCACAACTCTTTTTCTGTGGGTCATATGAAATATCACTGTGTTTTCTGTGTTTCTCATACACTGTCATTTCCAGGCAGGTAAAACAGCCCTTGACAAGGCCAGAGACAACAACCACAAAGATTTAGCACATCTCCTGGCCAGAGCTCCTCAGGTTTGTATCTGCATCATAAACTAAAAATTGATTTTATGAGTTCTTATTTTTGCATCAGATAGACCAAAACCTTACAGTGTTGTGACTGGCAGAAATCTTTACTCTGAGCTTTATAACTATAATTATAGTTTTTAATAGCACAAGCAAACATCTTGTGAATTTTGGGGGACTTATTGTTGGCAATATATGCTAAAATGTAGTAATGCTACCATAGCAGATTTTGTAATTGTCCTCAGGTGCATCGCTTCATGCGAGGAAGAACAATAAGGAAACGAAGAGAAAGACTGACAGCTGAGCGCAGGACCCAGTCTGTCACAAGAGTAGACATTCTACCAAACAAAGTAAGAAAATACCACACACTATCATTCGTTGTAGCATGTGGAGGTCCCCTGAGCTAGAAGGAGAATTCTTACAATTGTGTTAGCCACATTAAAGGGATAGTATGGAACTTCTGAAGTGGGTTTGCATGAGGTACTTATTTATAGTCAGTGTATTACCTACTGTATGTCAGTCAGCACACCCCCAGTTTGGAGAAGTTTAGGCAGGAGTACCAACTGTTGTGGAGCAAAATGTATTTTATCCACCTAAAACAGTTAAGTTAAAGCAGCTGTGCGGAACTTTTCGTTTTCGTTGATTATAGCGCCCCTTTGGTCGAAACGGTATGACACCCACAGCCTGGTGTTGTAAAATCTCGACTGCAACCGGCAATCACCGCATGCATTTGTTTTGGAGAGCAAGAGGATTAACTAATGTCAGGTCAGTCCAAGTAATTAGTGGAAACATGCTAACATGCTAACATGCTAACGTTACACACAAGTTAGTAGTAAAGTAAGACCTGTTCATAAATGTTCTGGTGTAACTCAAACAACAACTGCCTGCTGTATATTTGTGTTCATGGTCACAGTCACAGATAATTTTGTGGCGTTTGTTGTACTAGACAAAAGCGGTTCACATCAGCTACATTTAGCTTGCTTATAACTTCCATGTCGTCATATATTGAAGTGAAACAATGTCTAACAAGTTGCGGTATATTCTCTAAATAAAAACAAAAATTACATACCTGTCAATTAGGAAAAGGGCCAACTCGGGATCAGTTTTAAAACCTTTCTATTCTCTCAGCTCTCTCCATTTGGTGAATGCCCGACCGAGGTTTACACTCATTTTGGCTTGAGCCCTATCACTGTCCCGTTTAGCCTTCTTCTGTTCTTTTTCTTTTTCTTTTAGATGATGCTCCTTCGTTATCCGCCATGACATCAAAAGTACAACCAAGTCCTTATAGATACATCTGGTAAAACTGTTATGTGTTCTGCCCATTGCGTACCGCATACTCGAAGAACACTCTCTGTAAACACAGCTCCTTCTTCTTCTGTGGTTTAATGGCTGCAGGGCGCTGCGGGCGAGCAGAATCACTTCAGCGGGCGAGAAGAATCACTTCCGCCTCGGGTGTCGTATACTGGTTTGCTGACTTCGCTGTTCGTCCGACCCAAGCAAGGCTACACTAAATAGCCATATAGAGAAAGGCTTTTTTGTCGCTGTTGGGTTCAAATAAATATGCAGATCTTCAAGGGGGGGTGATACGAACTAGGGACAGTTTTATTAATGGTAAAGTTCCGCACAGCTGCTTTAAGTACACTTAGAATAATTTCACCACTTTACCTTGTGGTCAGACAGTGACTTCAGATGGGGAACTAAAGCCGTTATATTGCTCTCTTGGAAGTCAGACACCATTGAGAAAAATTATAATTTAACATCGCTGAACACAGGAGCAGCTGGTGTACTGCTGCCTTGTTGTTGTGTGACTTTAGCATTTCAAAGGGTTAGTTTGGATTGACCAAAATCACACAATAACATGAGCAATTTGTGAAAACATTATCAATAAGGCGTAGACTTAAACTGATGTTGATTTTCTAGGTGGCTAAAATACATTTTGTTGCTGGCATGTCCACAGCAGGATATTGCATAGCTTTTGTGTTGACATTTCTGCCTGCTTCTCTGAGCTGGGGGTGTGCCAACTGATGTCTACTGTAGGTAATACACTGATTATGAGTAAGTATCTCATACAACCCCACCTGAAAAGATCCAGAGAAATCAAATCCTTGAAAATTCAGAGATAACGAATATGATACCAGTATGTGCTATCATTGTTTCACTGACCACAGCTTTCATTTTGTACTTGAATTGAATTTCACAGTGTAGCTCTTCTCTGTCTGTCCTGAGCAGGACAGCAGTTCTGCGGTGGAGGAAACCCCCAGCAGTGAAAAAATGGAGAGCAGAACTGTCACTAAGGTTGGTCCTCACCACCATCATCAGCAGCAGCATTACAAAAAGAACCCAGCAGCCACTATCAGCAGCCCCTACAGCCACCGAAAGAGGAGGAGAGTCAGGGAACAGGTAGGTCAGCAACAGAGACACCATGTCTGTCATGCCCAGCTAGTCCACAGTGATGGCTTCATGTGACATAAGAACTGGAGGGTATGGGGCTCACTCTTTTTAGTGTTTTATTAATGCCTCAACATCAATGGTTCACTGATAGATCAACTGCTTGGCTAGTTATCAAACATGCAGTCATATTCATACAGGTATATAGCTGTGTCATTTTGTCCTCTCAATTCTTACTATTAATCTGCTAAAACAGTCATTCTAACACTGCAGCTCCCTCTGCCACTCCAACATCCTCCTGATGTGCTGACTTTGCTAACATATACTAAAAACATGTCTCCCTAATCATATGTATAAAGTAAATATGTTTGATATGCAGGAAGGATCACTTCAGCTGAATGATAGTTGCTGCTCAGTTTCTTTAAGAGCTCCATCACAGAACAGAGCCCCTTTTTGCTAAATCTGACTGTGTCCATTTGCAATAAATTGTTAACTCCTTGACAAACAAAATGTGTCTCTAAGCGGCGTATTCTCATAGAACAGTTCGTATGCTATCCTACGAAAAATGTATGCACAACAGCTAGAATGATATCTTCTGAAATTGTGCCGCACGTATAACATTACTTCCTTAATGTACAGTTATGTAATTATTGTAAAGGTTAGGTTTAGGCAAGTCGAATTACTGAGGTTAGGGTTAGGAAAAGAAACATGATAAGGATGTACCTTAAAATGACTAAAAGTTCACACAGATCTGAACATGCATCTCCAAGGGAAAGTCCTGGGTGAAAGATTTTTTTTTTGTGTGTGTGTGACTCATCCACCACCACAACCTGCCTCCTTACAAGCACTCGGGACTGCATCCTTACTCAGCACATTGGTTTCGTGAATACAGCCCTTCAAAATACATGGGATATGTACAAAGTGGAGTGCATTACCTTTTGTAGGAAAACATTCCACAGATTTGAACAGCCTGCTCTAGTGACCAGCCAAAAACAAATTAAAAGATTTGTGAATTATGCTTTTTATCCAAAGACAACATTAAGATGAACACACAATGATGAATGATGAACAAAGTGGTGTCTGTTTGCAATAATAAAAGCTGCAAATAAATAGTTTCTCCTCTCTGAGGCATTGAGAACCACTTGTTGTAGGGTATCAGATGGCACATTAAATGTGTTGTAAAATGACATTAATATATCATGTAAATATATATATAACTTGTATTGTCAGTGGTTTAAGTCAGTAAGTAAACTGTTGTACTTGATCCCATTTCATGGTCAGTCATAGACCTTTTTATTGCCCCCCCTTAGCCTTGGGTCACAGACATAAGTTGATCCAAAAATTGACACTAGTACAAGTGAAGCCTGTTTGATTGGTATACTGTAAGCTAAACTGTGCAATATCTGTACTTCCATCTGTTAATAATGTGAAATCAAAACAAAGAAAGAAAAGTCCGCATACTTCAGCTCCCTTTTTAGGTCCATTTATTCCATCATCATGGCGTGACGTTTCAGGCCACAGGTGCCCTTCTTCAAACTGAAAAATACAGCTGAGGACGCCATTTTTAAAGCTCCACATAGGTCACATGACCAATAAGACTGTGACAATACAACATAGAAAAAGATAACACTATACACAGCACAAAAGAAATAAACATCAGGCTGTAAGGCCATCATACTCAGTTGGCTAAATGTATTGAGGCGCCTCTATAAAATATTCAATACTTAGGATGATGGAAAGATACATTTTTTAAGAAAACCAGTTATCATGTTTAGTACACCAACATTTTTTTATAAACATTTTTTACCGTCTTTTTAGTGTTAACCCTGGGAAAGAACATGATCAAGCAAGTATATATACACATATAAACACACATAGTGCACAGGAGGACACAGAACGCAGCAGCACAGGCCAGTATAAGTTAACACCAATTATTTTGTACCAAATGTTTTGCAAGCAGCTCAGAGTCCAATGCTCACACACAAAAGTTCAGAGACCAATGCTCACACAAGAACAATACAGAGTCCAATTTCAGTCCAGAAGCTCACATAGTTAGTAGTCACAAAAAGGGTTTGATGTTAAAGTCCTCATTGAGCCCCTTAGGTGACAGAGTGTCTAGTGTATAAATCCAGTACAGTTCCCTTTTTAAGAGGAGAGTGTCTACATCCCCTCCTCTCCGAGGGCATTTCACAGTTTCGATGCCAATGTACCTGAGAGAAGACAGACTGTGTCTGGCCTGTGTGAAATGAACTGCCACTGGGCTAGAGGGGTCATGGTTGCGAATGGTGCACCAATGTTCTGTGATCCTGGTTTTTAAAGGTCTGGTTGTTTTTCCAATATATGATAGACCACAGGGGCACTGTAACACGTATATATGACATTTTTCATTTTGCAGGAGATGACGCCTTTAATAAAGAACTTCCTACTTCCAACCATCCTCACTCGGGTAGGAAGTTCTTTATTAAAGGCGTCATCTCCTGCAAAACGAAAACGCAAAACATTTGGTACAAAATAATTGGTGTTAACTTATACTGGCCTGTGCTGCTGCGTTCTGTGTCCTCCTGTGCACTATGTGTGTTTATATGTGTATATATACTTGCTTGACCATGTTCTTTCCCAGGGTTATTAACACTAAAAAGGTGGTAAAAAATGTTTATAAAAAAATGTTGGTGTACTAAACATGATAACTGGTTTTCTTAAAAAAAATGTATCTTTCCATCATCCTAAGTATTGAATATTTTATAGAGGCACCTCAATACATTTAGCAAATTGAGTATGATGGCCTTACAGCCTGATGTTTATTTCTTTTATGCTGTGTATAGTGTTATCTTTTTCTATGTTGTATTGTCACGGTCTTATTGGTCACGTGACCTATGTGGAGCTTTAAAAATGGCGTCCTCAGCTGTATTTTTCAGTCTGAAGAAGGGCACCTGTGGCCCGAAACGTCACGCCATGATGATGGAATAAATGGACCTAAAAAGGGAGCTGAAGTGTGCGGACTTTTCTTTGTTTGTTTAGTTTAATTCTTTTAGTCCAGCACCTTCTTCACTTCTTGGATGTGCGTGGCTGCTCTTTTTATATTCAGTAATGTAAAATCAACCGTTTAGTCCGTCTCTTTATCTTATTTTGCTTCTTTTTGCTGCTTACTTATTTCTACTGATGCTTCCTGTTTGCACTATCCCTCTGCTGCTGTAGTGTTGCAGATTTCCCCTCTGTGGGTTGAATAAAGAAGTCAAGTCAAGTCAATTTTATTCATAGAGCCCTATATCACAAATCACAATTTGCCTCACAGGGCTTTACAACATATGACATCCCTCTGTCCTTAGGACCCTCGCAGCAGATAAGGAAAAACTCCCCAAAACCTTTAATGGGGAAAAAAAATGGTAGAAACCTCAGGAAGAGCAACTGAGGAGGGATCCTCTCTATCAGGATGGACAGACATGCAATAGATGTCGTAGAGAACAGATCCCTTTTAAAGATACGTCTGGAAGAGCCTCAGTTTGTTGACAAACCTCAAACCATTTTAGACCAGATCAGACAGCATCTTCACCTTCTGTTGCAGATCCAGGCTCAGTTTGTTCAGATGACACAGCGTGTTGACCAGAATAGTAGGATCTGGAATCCACTTTAGGTCATGTAGCTTAGCATAATCCTTCTGTTTCTCTGCCACGGACAGCTTCACCGAGGAGGAAAATATGTTAACTCTTAAAATCCAATCCCTTATTGTTGCACAAAATCTGTTGGTGCTACATGACAGATTATTTGGAATTTTGCTCACAGTTGCTCTTGTGACTAAATAGTCTAGCAAGACCAATGTTTGTGATGATGACTAAATAAACCCAGCTGCATTCCAGTTTCCACCTGGTCTAACTCTCATGTCATTACATTGCTGCACATCATATGAAAACAAATGGGAGCTTATGACTACATTTTGTTAACTTAACTAACACTTTAACACTTTTCTCCTTTGCAGGCCTTGAATAGAAATGATCTTAGAAAAGGCAAGAATGACTTTCACGCTAAGAAGAATCTGCTGTGGGATGATGGTGAAGATTCTGCTGAGAATGGAAAAATCTATCAGCTTTACACACTGTACCGAGACAAGGATGGCAACATTAGACAGGTTCATAATAAATAAACTCAACTCATGTTTTGTAAATCAGTGATGCTCAGAGCTGAATGTATCAGTCAGAGGGTCCCAGAGTACTGAGAGGGTGAAATAGGCATGGAACTTATCCAAACCACAGTGTTTGGAGCAGAGTTACGTTGAACACAGCTGTCACAGCCTAAAAGACAAAACATGTACAAGGTATTCTATGAAATGCGTGTGCAATTTGTAACTTGTGACCCCTCTCTTTAGGCCCCAGCTAATGGATGTCATTGTAAGCCCCTGCTCAAGAAGCTGGAGGGCCAACTGAAAGCCACGCAGGAGGAAATGAGGCTGCACATCCTCAACATCCAGGAGGAGGTCAACTGTAGACTGGGCAAAATGGACCACAGGAACAAACACCAGGTCTGCTTCGACTCTGTCTCTGCTCACAGATCATGACTTTGATTTACTTTATGCCTTCAGTGACTTCAGCTGATCAGCTCATTTGGTTTTACTCAAGAAACAAACCTTTTTGTTAGTTTGTTTGATGTTTTTGTTTGTAAAATTGCTGGTTGCCTTTATTTTATGGAGGATACAAAATGACTAAAGAACCAATAAATAAATGTATAAATAGATACAGGAATAGGTAGGAAGAAATAAATACAGAAATAAATAAATAGAAAGAGATAAAGAAATACAGAAAGAAAGAAATGCAGAGGTTAGGACCTCCTACTTTAATTTATCTATACATTTATCCGTTTATTTTCAATATATTTATTTATTCATTTATTTCAGCATTTATTTACTCTTATCTATTTATTTCCATGTTTATTTATTTATTCCTGTGTATATTTTTATATGTATTAATTTATGTCCTGTTTGTTAATATAGTCATTCCTGTATTTATTTATTTATTTATACATTTATTTATTTGTATTTCTATATTTTGTTATATTTTTTATTTATTGTCTTCGATTTTTATTTATTTATTCCTGTATTTATTTTTATATCTATTCTTTAACGTCTTATTTATTTATTCATGTATTTATTTATAGATTTTTTCCTGTATTTTTTATACATTTACGTATTTATTTCCATATTTTTAAGGTATTTATTACTGTATTTGATACTTAAGTCCTTTTCATCCTCCATAATATTTTGTGTGTCTTAAAATCAAACTTAAATTTGATTCATTCTCACATATTTGTAAGGAAGCAGTAACACGTCTGTATATGTCTGTGTATTTAGTTTTGGGTAGCTTGGAGAGTGTAAAGAAAAAACTCACAGCCAAAGTGGTACTGGCTGACAATGCTAGTTGTTAATTGCCATTATACACACCAACCTTACTAAGCCCTGTTGTACAGCCACTGTTTTATCATACATAACAAACCAGAAGCCACACATCACGTCACTGTAATACATATCTGTCCACAGCAGGTGCAATACCAAATTTACTCAAGAAATACAAGTCACTGTCTAATGACGTTGCTTACACACCAAGTTTACACACACAGCTTATGGGTAGATTTCTTAGCAAAACTGCTTTTTATAAAATTCAATTGAAATTACAATTAGACAATTCTCATATCAGAAAATTCCAAAATCGGTACAAAATTGCTTGATTCAGGGTGTTTTTTCACAGTGACATTATTTTACACTTTGGGCAGATGAAAGTGTTGGACATGCTGAATCAGGAAAGAGCGGCAGCAGAGAGGAAGAACATAATCTACAAGATCGAGCAGAGAGCTGCGCAGGGGAAAGAGGAAGCCCTGATGACACAGGTACCAGTTACAGCTACTGACACTGGATTTCATTACAAGCAGGGAACGCATGGGTAGATCTTCTTAATGTTTGCATGTGTAACCTTCATAACTGGGCCTGTTATAACCTGATATATTAGCAGTCGATTAATATTATGATTATTATGAGATGGAAGGTCAGTGTAGCTTGGACTCAACTTTCTGCATTCTGAATCAAATAAACTTAAAACTCAGTGAAAGTCATCTGAGGGCTGAGAGTTATCTTAGAATTGTAAGAGTAATGGCAGATTTTGGCAGAATTGTGAGATTTAAATCAGAAGAGATGTTACAGTATGTCATGATTGGCCTCCAATGGGAGACTCATCTGGAAGTGAAAAAAAAGTTGTTTGAATTAAATCACACAAAGGATATAGATGATTTTCCAAGAATAAAGTGAATATTTTAAGAAAAAAATCAGAGATGACGATTAAAGTCAGAGTGAATTTTTGTCATGCTTTAAACTCCTTACTCCAGTCTTTCAACAAGACAAATGCAAGTAAGGAACAGCAGCTGCTGTGCTCTTATTAAGGCAGGTTTGATCATACAGCGGCTTGTCTCTTATCTCATGCAGGCAGCAGTGACCCATGAACTGAAAAGATGGTGTATGTCCCAGTTGAAGGACATGGACGTCCACATCGCAGCCAAAAGCCAGTATTACAAACTCCTCCCCTCACAGTCTGTGGAGCAGTCTGTAGCAGACGCTGACCTGGAATCACTCCCCCTGCTGTCTGTGGTATCCGGAGACAGCAGCACTTCACTGGCTACCTACGTCAACATCCTGCCATCTAAATCGACAAACAGTGTAGGAGGCCAGGAGCAGGAGGGGAGCAGGACATACTTTGAAATGAAAGTGGACAGGTCACCAGGTATGTCAAGAAACAGTGCCAACAGGGAGCATTTTAAAGGGGCATTCAGCAGTGCTTTATGGCTGTTATCACCGCAACAGCATCAGCAGTGGCACAGCCCTGCATGTCAGTGTGGGTTTTCTCCAGGTAATTTGGCTTCCTCCCACAGTCCAGATACATGCAAGTTAATTGGTGACTCTAAATTGGCCGTAGGTGTGAATGTGAGCGTGAATGGTTGTCTGTCTCTATGTGTTAGCCCTGTGATAGTTTGGCAACCTGTCCAGGGTGTACCCTGCCTCTCACCCTATGTCAGCTGGGACAGGTACCAGCCAACCAAACATGAATGATGAATAATAAAATTATAAAGTGATGCCATTTTATTCCACACCATATCTCAGGAACAGAACTGAATTAGTGACACTAATGTTTGGTTCCAATTTTGAAACTGTGCTGATTGTATGGATCCTCTGTGCTGTTGGGGGGGAAATTGGTTGTGAAACGTCCATGTTTTCACAGACATGGATTTATACTGTAAAGCAACTTGACTGTGCAGAGGCATTCAACCATGGGGTGGTAATCCTAGTTAATTTTATACTGATGTGGATCTGTATTTCTGAAATAAAGTTAAATTGAATTAAGATCTAGTGTGTAGGTTTTAGGGGCATCTAGCAGTGAGGTTGCTAATTGTAACCAACTGAAACTTCCCCCAAGTGCAAAGCGTGTAGGAGAACTACGGTGGCTGTCGTAAAAATGCATATGGTCCTATCTAGAGCCAGCGTTTGGTTTGTCCATTCTATGCTACTGTAGAAACATGGCAGCGGTAACTACAACAGTCAATTATAAACTAATAAAGATACAGTTATGAATGATGCAGTTATGAAAATTCCATTTCTGCTAAGGGATATTCCTAAATCCTACATACTGGATCTCTGTTTAGGCTTTGTGTTGGTTGGTTTTGATTTTGTTGTTGTTTTTTTAGGGTTTTTCTTTTGGCTTTTTTGCCTATATTGGACAGGATGGAAGTGGATTTGGAGTTGTCATTAGGATCTTTGTCCTGCTGTAGAAGCCATCCTCTCTCTCCCAACACAAGCCCAAAGCATGATTGATCCACTCCGTGTTGGACAGGTGCTCTTTTCATGTGATATGTTTGGAACTTTTCTCCAACCATATCTTGTATATCGGCTCAACTCCTCAAAAAGTTCTATTTTGACTTCATCAGTCCACAGGACTTGTTTCCAAAAAGCATCAGGCTTGTTTGTATGTTCCTTTGCAAACTTCTGATGCTAAATTTTGTGGTAATGACACAGAAAAGGTTTTCTCCAGATGACTCTACCATGACGGTCATATTTGTACAGGTGTCACTGCACAGTACAACAGTGCACCACCACTCCAGAGTCTGAGGAATCTTCCTGCAGGTCTTTTGCAGTCAAACAGGGGTTTCATTTGCCTTTCAAACAATCCCACAAGCAGCTCTCTCTGAAAGTTTTCTTGGTCTTCCAGACCTTAACTTGATCTTCACAGTTCCTGTTAATATCCATTTCCTAATTACATTATGAACTGAGGAAACAGTTACCTGAAAACACTTTGCTACCTCCTTATAGTCTTCTCCTGCTTTGTTGGCATCAGTTATTTTAGTGCTAGGCAGCTGTTTAAAGGAGCCTAAGGCTGCTGATTGATGGTACAACCTTTTAGGAGTCAGAGTATTTCTAAAGCTTTAAAATTTGCTGACCTTTCCGAACAATGATTGTAAACAAACCATAGCCCTTACAAGCTAATTAAGGTCTGAGACCCTGGTAAAAGTTGTCTGAGAGCTCAAATGTCTTGGGGTGCCTAAACTTTTGCATGGGGCTCAGTTCCTTTTCTCACTCTAAAATTGTACAAAACAAAAATAAAAACACTAATCTTGCTTTAAATGTTGAAAAGTATGTTTCATCTCTAACTTCATACCTGTTGCAGATCAGATCTTCTTCTACTTACTTAACTTTTCAAAGTAAACAAGATGTTGACCAGGGGTGCCCAAACTTTTGCATGCCACTGTAATATAGTTATTTGCTATGAAGATATATAAAAACCATCCCTATTGAAGAGGCTCTCTCAATTTTTTTCTCTGTTATCAGAAGACTATGAGAACACAGCCCTGTTCCCTCTGCATGCCAACCACAGCTCAGGCATCCTGCTGGGCACTGTTGACCCCCTCTGTCAGCATCCAGGAGTGCAGGACAGTTCCACTGCAGCAGTGGTGCCCCTGTATGGGGAGGGCTTCTCAAGCAGCAGCAGCCAGTCCAGCATCAGCGACGGGGGACCCAGACCAATCCAACAGCAGCAGTTTAGCTCTGACAGACAAGAAAGGAAGCACTTTGGAGAGCTGATGAGTGCAGGCAGGCATACAGGAGTACACAGTGAGGGCAGCAGAACACTGGAGTTCTTCATTGATCGTCCCACTGAGCCCACATTCAGGCAGGAAAGGAACAATCAACATGCTATGGAGGTGAGTGTCAATCAAACAAACATGCTCCAAAACATACTTTTGGCCTTTGTACTTTAAGCCTTACAGTGTGTTCACACCGGGCACGGGGCGAATTTTTTGCGCGACAAGATTACATACAAAGTCAATGTAAAGATGTGAATAGTGCTGGCGGCGCGAATGACGTGGATGGTGCAACGCGAATGGAGCGAACACGCGAAATTCGCGTCATTCGCGTCATTCGCGTCATTCGCATCATTCGCCCAAGTACAACATATTGAACTCGAGCGAAATATTCGCTTGATGCTGTGTCGGGGCAGCCTATCATCGTTGAGATGTTCCTGTCGTCACCGATGTCACTGACGTGCTGCTGTCCCACCCGCCCCTGCCCCGTGTTGTTCCTAATCAATAACTTAATTTGGGATTCATGCCGTTGTAGTAAACAACATTCATTCAGGCGACATGTGACTTGCCGGATACAGTGAATATTTATTGATTTTCACATGCAAAAAACTCACCGGAGACAGATGGACAGGCGCTCCGCAGACGGAAAGTTGGTGTCCTGGCGGGAGATCCTGGCACCGATCCTACCCAACAGGTCATCGAACTGGGCCGTGGTCAGCCTGAAATAGGGCTGGAAGCGGCCGTCGTCCAGGCGCAGCTCCTGGAGAAGATGATGATATTCTCCCAGCTGTGTGCATCTCCGGAGGATGCCGTGGACCCAGACACGTCAGCACTTGGGTTTCCGACGAATCTCGGACTGCCACAGTAGGTACAATGCAGCAATGGTAGCCACCTCAGTCATGGCCGATGAGAGAAAGAAATAGCGGGAATAATAATAATAATTTCATTTTATATATGGCGGTAGCCCCTCCTACGTAAGCCCAAAGGGCCATCTTTCATACCTTCCTCTTCTCTTTTGGCGAATATTCGCAAGTTGTGTATTCTATTACTCGCGCGAATGTGAAAGTAAAAACAAATATTCCAGCGGTCAAACTCGTGCGAGTAGAGCGAGGCAAATATTTTACTTGCGGCCGGTGTGAACACACTGTTAGAGGATAAGTCTATTTTATTACAATGTAAGTCTGATTTTAATAGTTTTGGCCATCATTTTTTTATCACTAATAATAATGCTGTACCCACCCAGTTAACAGAACTGGGGACTTGAGTCACATGACTTGGACTCGAGTCAGACTCGTGTCACAAATTTGATGACTTTAGACTCAACTCAACAAAATAAAAAAAAGACTTGAAACTCAACTTGGACTTTAACACCAGTGACTTGTGATTTCACTTGGACTGGCCGGCTCAAGTCAAGTTGCCCTAACGTATGGATATGTGACAGATCCATAAACTTGTATATCATTGGATCTTTCCGGATACAGGTCCTTTTTGTCCAGTGTTTTAATTTGAAAATGCTTGATACCTTCCCCCAAGCCCAACGATGAAAAGTATGTTAATGTGAAAACCAAGTACCAACCAGTAGAACCATTTTTCTACACCCCTCTGTACTTAGTACACTGATCTGACACTAAAAGGTGGAGCTAGAAACACTGCAGTCCCTTAATTGGTCAGCCAAGAACCATCACTCTTGCTCAGGGCTGAGTTGTGGCTGGTTTAATGGTTATGCAACCACTATGGTTACACTATGGCAAGTTTTACATATATAAGTCAACTATAACTAAAACTGAAAGGATGTTTTGCTGCCTCTTCCTCTTTAAAAAAAAAAATTATTTCACTGGGCTGCTGGCAACTTTTCAGTTTTTAAATGTCAATATGACAACTTTGACCATTCCATTGTTGTTTTTGTCTCTCTTGGATGACATACACTTTAGTAAAGATTGAAACTTCAAGCGTTAAGAAAATATGTATGAAGTCCAACCACATGGCTGGTCGTCTTTATCCCCTTTGAGGCTCCACAGCATCTAGTCATTCCAGGACTGAAGAGAGGTTAGCTAAGGCAACCTCATTAACGTCTGAATCTGTGACGGCAGAGTATGCAGCCAAGCTCTCTATGGCCTGCTCAACTCGGTCACGGGCATCAGACTCAGATATAATATTAGAATCCACCTGGGCAGCTAATTCTAACAGTGTCTGCACAATCTCAGGGAGCACCATGATCTGTGAAGCGTCCATATATCAAATATGCACACCGCCCCCCCTACCGTATTAGATGGGTAGCATGGTCAGCACGGAGCTGAAGAAGAGCAGCTACTGACGTCACTCTCCTGCACCGCTCAGATTGCCAAATCGTTTTCAAATTATGGGCAATATTTTGCAGGGCAGACAACGAAAACGAAATAGCAATGTCCTCTTTGTTTTCTTTTTGATTATGGCATAAAATAAGCAGTCTTGAAAAAGAAAATGAAAATGCAAATAGGTTGATGATCTGTGGATATTCTCATTTATCCAGGTCAATTCCATTCTGGCAACAATTAATCGTAGGCAACTGGACTTTAACTGGATTTAATTGTTGCCAGAAAGGTTGATTGATTATTAATTTTATTTATGAGTGAAATAATGCAGCCACATTCTTAAAATGAAAAAGCATTTCTGCAAATGCATTTTAATTTTCAAATTTTACATTTCAAATTGAATTTTGGTATCTATTTGCTGGGGCATATTTTGAAAATTAAATCTCAAATGACTTTTTCTTTTTCATTTTAATTAAGTAAAAGAATGAGCAGTCTTGAAGAAGAAAATTAAAATGCAAATAGGATGACTGATGATTAGTTTTATTTATGAGTCAAATAATGCAGCCACATTCTTAAAATGATAAAGCATTTCTGCAAATGCATTTTAATTTAAATATTGGTCATGATTCACTTCCATAGAAAGTTAATAGCTCAAGACATCTCTAAAAACAGGGTCAAGAGGGGTCAAGATAGGCAAGCAGTCAGACCCCCTGCAAGTAAAAACTAGAAATAAAGCAAAGGTGATCAGTAGAAGTATTATCCAAACTGTCTACATAGATCCACCTCCTGCTTCAGCTATGACCTATTTCTTATTTTACTTATTACTTATTGTAGCTGTGTGCACACAGTTTCCCTCTTTAATGACAGATTATTAGCAACATTACAGGTGTGTTCACTTTCTGTTGCTCATTAAATAAAGAACTTTAGACAATCAAGATAAACTGTTGACTTGTTTACTCTCTGATCATGTTTGTTGACATGATAGACTTTGTAGTGATTTCAGCAATTAACTTTGTGAATGCAATTTTTCAAACTGATATAAATGATGGCCTATGAAAATACAGTAAGACACTAAGATATTTTACAAGAACATACAGTACTACAAAAGGAATGGGTCATTTTTGAAAGAAATGTTGTTCCATTTCTCTCTCAAAGTGAGGTGAGTAGATCAATATCAATCTCGTCTGTGTCTCAAGTGCAGAGCTGGGCTTACAGTCTTAATGCTAAGCTAAGCTAAATACCTCCTAACTCCAGCTCTGCACTGAGTTTAGCCTAAAGACTTGGAACAGAGGGAAACATCCAGCCTGACTGTCCAAAGAGGGATAAAACATTTACCAACACCTCTAAAGCTAACTGATTTACAGGTTGTATCCATCCATCCAATCTCCTTATGCTTAGAGGGTCACAGGGGGCTGGAGCTGATCCCAGCTGCCATTGTGTTTGACTGGGAGTCAATCACAGGGCTGACATAATGAAGGACAATCATCTAGGACACCAACAGACAACGTAGAGTCGCCAGTCGACCGAACCTGGACTGTGGGAGGAAACCAAAGTACCAAGAGAAACACAGGGTGAACATGCAAACTCTTGACCTCACAGTGCTAACCACTGCACCACTGTGCCACCATTGTATCTCTATTAAACTGTTGAGATTCAATGTATTCATTAAAACTTTAGAGGTGTTGGTAGGTGTATTTTTGAATTTTGGAGTGAACCAGGCCAGCAGTATCCCCCTGAGTCTTAAGGTGCCATAGCATCACTCCAACGGCCCAAAATCCCAAGGCCACATTAGTAAGAAAAATGTCCAAATTGGACGGAAAGCTGTTCTCCCAACAAGCTGTTATCCCAAAAGCAAACACCAATTGCTCCAAAGTCCTGTTTCTCCAAATATACACACTCTCTGCAGGTAGTTTTAGTTTCCTCAAAATGTTTAAGCTACTGATCTGTATTTAGAGCCAAAACATGAGTGTTTTTTATGCTGAAAATTAACCACACATTCATCACAGCACTGCTGACAATGAGAATGTGTCTGTGGTTTACAGAAATGTACAATGCGAACATTTGAGAGTGTGTATGTTCAGAGAAACCAGACTTTGAAGCACTGGGTGTTTGTTTTTGGGATAATGGGCAGTTGGAGAGATGGGCTTTTAGGTAGGGATGCACCAAATATTCGGTAACTGAATATATTCGGCCGAATATTGCAAAAAAACACACATTTGGTATTCAGTGGAATAAGTTAAAAGCAAGGCTGAATAATAGCGGCGTTTTGATAACGCAATCAAACAGCGTGCCATGACGCGCGGAGTAAAATGTTGGCAGTGTGGCAATCCGTCCCTCACTGCACTCGCATTTGCGACTAAAAATAGTTTTGAGCGAGCAAAATAGGCTTAAATCATTCAGCACGCTGTGCGAGCAGCCTACAGATTTCAACCAGCAGAAACAAAAGGCGAATCCCACCGATTGCGGGTTGAACAGGGGTCACAGACACAGACAGTAATGTATTCCTGTCAAATACGGCGGCCATCGGCTTACCGGCGACGGATATGTCGGCTCCAATAATATCCTCTTCTTGGCGTCATGACTGCCCAGAAGTACCTGAACAGCTGAGCCAGCCGAACACAGGTATGTGACGTGTCAGAGGAGAAATGAGCCGTTCACGGCTCACAAACCTCACCGCACTTTAGGGACTGTTCTTTACTTATGAAGGGGAGGAGGGTGGCTGGTTGATTCTTATTTTATTTATTTATTTTATTTTGATCCCCCCTATGTTCATCACTCATTGATGCTGTTTTTGAAGTATGAATAAGTCAATAAGTAATTTATTCCATTGAAATATCATTGATGTATTATAGAAAAGTGATTTATCTTTTTATAAATGACAAAAGGCACATCTGCCTCATTTTCACTGTGGTATCGTGATACTACTCAGAACCATGATATTTTCATTGGTATCATACAGTGGGATCCAATTTTGGTACCATGACAACACTAATCTGGAGGGGGTTCATCTGCAAAAACTAATGAAAAACTAAACAACGATATTCGGTATTCGGTACTCGGTATTCAGCCAAGCGTTTAATATTATTCGGCTTTGGCCACAAATATTAATTTCGGTGCATCCCTACTTTTAGGCCAATGGTACATTTTTTTGGACCAACAGTTCTTAGGAATTTTGGCCCATCCGAACAATGGGCAGTCCTCAGTCTTTATGCTAAGCTTGGCCTATGGCCTCCCTGCTCTTACCTTCTACTTATCACTCAGACATTAGACTGATATCAGTCTTCTCATCGAGGGAAACAAATTGAATATGAGCTGATCTTAAAACTCCAAACCACTTCAAGTGTGCTTTCGCCTTCCGGTCAGGTGACTCAGCGCTTCTTTGAGACGGTGTCAACTCAGTTGGAACGCTGGTACGAGAGGAAGCTCGTGGAGGTGGAGCAGCAGACGGAGCTCAGAGCCCAGCAGGACAGGAGGGAGCTGCTGCAGCAAATAAGCATGCTGGAGGAGGAGCTTGAGAGGTTGAAGACCAATGAGAAAGCAGAAGGCCTGTGCACCCTGACAGTGACTAATGACGAAGAAAGAGTGACGGAGAATGGATTACCTTCTGCACTTTGAAATTTAGCTGTGTCAGCATGAAGGGTCTTTGCAGGGATGTGAAAGTGGAGGCAGTGATCTTACGGGCAGTAGGGGGAGGTTGTTACCGGGTTGGCGATATGTCCATGTGTGTTTGTATGTATGTATAATGGTTTGTGTTAAACAGGGAGACATTATTGATATTGAGGAATGGGTTCCAACATCCCTGAAATTAATCTATTTGTTTTTTGTTTTTTTTAATGTTACTTGTGTTACTTTAATGTTAATGTTACTTGTTACTTGTAACTCTTTAAATGTATTCAGATAGTAAAAGGTGCCACTTGGAAATTGAAAGGATTATTTCTGTCTTTCCAGTTTAGTAAAATATCCTTTTTACCAATTGTTTAGGCAACTAGTATGGGTTGTTCACATTTCAGTGGTGGTTCAACTGAGGAGAGATCTCACAGCAGACATACAGAGGATATTTTGTGTAATGTATGTCCAGAATGTTTGAATCAGGGGGCAGAGCCAGATGGCAAGAAGGTAGCCATCTATGGTATTGAATGTGCTGTGTGTACAGGTGTCATTGTCTGAGAATAAGCTGTAGTTTGGAGTTATGCATCATTGAGAAGACTTTGTTGTAGATGTGCTTCCAGGATTTGCTATAAATGGTGACAGCAAGATCTTTTCCCAGTCATGGACAGGTCATCAGAGATGGTTGTCTGTTTTTATTAGAAGTATGCAAGTTTTTGAATTATGAACGCTATTCTGAGTGGCTTTGAGTTTGAGTTGATTGGACAATGGGGGTGGTTCCAGAAAGCTGGTAGATGTGGTGATGTTTCCTTTTAAACAGTGTTTTAGTTGTGAATAATGCAAAAAGCTCTTTTAGTGTTTTGTGAGGAATAACTGAGCCATGATCAAATAAGAGTGTGATTCCTTGTCCTTTTCCATGAATAAAATGCTAGTGGTTTGTTTTTTGATCTGATAGTCTGCGTTGTGCAAGATAGGGGTACATTTATTTGAGGTTGTCAGGCGTCCACTTTTTTTTCTTTTTTTTTTTTTTGGTGTTGAATTCCACCAAAAGGTCAGAGTCATTAAATTGATCATAATCATATTGTTCTATATCCAGCCAGGGGTGTTGTGATTGTTGATTTTCTTGCAACCATATGACTATATACTGTAGATGATTTACTAGGGGGTAGAATTAGAAATTTTGGGCAGCCAGGCCTCCATGGTCTCTTGATTTGTGCAGAGTAGATCATTTAATTAGTGGTTTATCATGTTTCCAGTGAGATTTGGTCGAGATATAGTCTAAAGTGTGGAACAAATATGTAGGTTGGACCAGGGTTATAGAGAAAATAGTTTATTTTTGGTAGTATAGTAATTTTCACTACTGCTATTATTCCAATTAGTGAGATCAACAAGTTGTCCCAGAGGGTGAGGTCTTCCTTGTTGCTTTTTAATAATGGAGCATAATTCAGAAGGAAAATCTTTGACAGCTTGGTAAAATTATTTACAGCAAGGTATCATGTATATAATGTTACCTGTTACTGTAACAGGAATTTAGATGCAGCATTCCAGTCTTCCTCACAGAGCGGTAGAATTTTAGATCATATAAATTTATGGAATTATCAGAAATGTTTGAGAATATGGGTGTGAGATCAGTGACTTTTGGTAGGGCTGTTAAGGGATTTTGTTGGGTATAAGAGGATGTCATCTGCGTATAAACTGATTTTGTGGTGAAAATGTCTTATTTGTATACCTGTGAAACTGTATGGCAGCTGCAAGAGCTTAAGTGAAAATGGCAAGCAATAATTGAGAGAGGGCACCTTTTATGTGCCCCCTGCAGTGTGAAGCATTGAGAGGTGTGAATATTGGTTATGTTGGAAATACTTGATATTTTATCTGAATAGCAGAGTCTGTATCATTATTACTATTATTAATAGTTTAATTAGTTTTATTATGATTATTAGAGATCATAAAAAGTTGTGTTTATGTCTTTTGGGTCATACATTAAATTCGTGTGTGTCTTGAATTGCTGTAATGAGTGATCTTTGTTTCTTTTTAGCTGATTGACAAAGAATTTACCTTTATTTCCATCGTGTTCAAAGACCCAGTTACTTGTATGAATTGGGTCTGTCAATGTATGATATTTTGGAGCTGTGTCTTAATTTCCTGTATTTCATTAGTGGACTGAGGATGTTGGGAGTATGGGTGTTTCAGTCTATGTTCCAGGTCTGATGTTTTTTCATTCCTTCTTTTTTTTCCTCGTTAAATGTGGAAAGTGAGGTGATATGTCCCCAAAAGAACTGCTTTTGATGTTTCCCAAAGTACTGATGGTGATATGTCTGGGGAGTTGGTCAGTTCAGTGAAGGAGGTCTGCTCTTTGGAGAGGAAGTGAAGTGTTGAACTGTTGAACTTGAGGGGGGTGGGGCTGTTTCATGTACTAGATTAGAGCTGACTGGACCATGGTTATATGTTAATATATGATATATATAACATATATATATTTCTGAATTATAATGTATTAAGCCAATTCTCAACTATAATTTCCTTGACAGACATCTGGTAGTTTTTATGATAAATATTATCTTTTGATATTAAATCCAATCAGCTATTTCCAAAGTCAACAATGGGCATTTAAACTCAATTAATAATGTTTTATTTCTTTATTACAAGGAGCACTGTTCTTTACAGCATTATCTTTGACTGATGATCAGTTCTAGCATCTTTTTAATGAAGATTATCTGTAAATAAAACCAGCTGAATGAGTGTTTTACCCAAAAGGAGTTGTAGGACTTTTATTCAACTGTCTGCACTCTTCTTCACAATCTGCATTCTGCAACAACAACCTCCACCAAGACTATGAGCAGGTATATGCAACTGGAGCCAAGCTTCCCATCTGGGGTTTGGCAGTTAGACAGAAAAGTACACAGTTTAGTGGTCTTTAAGCCAATAATCAAATTGAACTGTAAAAAAAAACCTGTAAAGGATTTTGAAAAGTGAAAGGGACAAGTCCCCTCTGTCCCCATTGGAAATGATTCCCTGGTATTACAGTACACAGATCACAGCAGCCGCAATGTGGTACAGGTTACTGTGACAGAATGTTTGGTTAATGTATGTTGCTGTGCACTGACAGAATGTCAGCATGTAACCAGCCATGTGACACAAAATACCTTAACATTAAAGATTTAAATGCAAATAAGAGGCCCAGTTCCAATGTCCTGAGAGTCAGGCCACAAAATGAAGCACACAATGTCGGGTTCAGTCTATCGATATCAGGTTGATAACAGCCTGACCTGAACAACATGAGGCATTTGGAATAAAAATGAGGGAATGATCGACTGTTTCAGCGTGTGTAGTGTATCATAGACGCACAGTACACTCTGCCTCATACAGTGTGAAAACAGCAAAGCAAAAGAGGATTGATGTTGTTGGTGGAACTGTGAAACAGAGGAAAGGTCACAGTCTTTTTTTTTTCAATTCTTTTTTCTTCTGAACACAAGACGGCAAGAACCACACACATACACACACACACACACACACACACACACACACACACACAAACCACTTTTTGTTTTTGATAAAATATTGTTCCATAAGATATGCAACCAAATATATAACCAAAGTTATATGAAATATCAAATTTGGTTGGATTTCAGACATGGATGAGTTTCTTGTTTTTTAAAATTGAAGTAATAGTAGTAATAATAGTTATAATTTATTTAAATAGCACTCATTTATTGATTGTGGCAGAGAACCGTTGGGGAAGTCGCTCATCTCTTGCTCACCCTGTTTCCTCTCTCTTTAAACTGTCTACTGTCAAGTAAAGTCAAATGCATAAAATATTATTACAATTTTTGGGTCAAGATTATTACTGCTGATGCATTACTCTGCATTCTACTCAGTATTTTAAGTTGGTAAGGGTGAAGCTAATTATGATCAGTTTAAAAGACAACTGATGGAGATGACACACCCAATAATTATATCATCAGGAAGTTTAATCTATAATAATGCATCATTTTTTTAAGATTATCTTCATAAAGAATCTAAATTTGTAGTGCAATAAAAAGTACATTTTCCATCTGAATGAGTAAAGTACATGAAGTAGCATTTAATGGAAATACTTCAGTAAATTACAAGCACCTCAAAATTTACTGAGAAAATGTCCACAGTGACAGCAAGTGAATTGATATTACAAAATGAACTGAAAGTCCTACCAAGAAAAGACAAACTGTTCGATTGTTGATCTGGTGTCAACAAACAGACAGACAGGACAAAGTCCCACCTCTCAACTGTCAGTCAGGCTGCTGGGCGGAGCTCATGAAGCAGCCATTGGTTGTGTAATCCAATGATCCTGGTGTGACATCTGGCATTTGGCCTCAGTGACCACAGCCGCAGCTTCTGAAGGGAAAATCAAATCAATGCTCCATTGACTCTGTCAGAGCGCGATGGAAACCTAATTAAAGGCCCTCCAGGCACAGCTGGTCATTTTATGCAGCCAAGCACCAGGGCTCTCAAATCAAGCCAGTAATATGTACTATTGCTTTACTCTGTGTTCTGAGGGAGGGGGTCTGTGAGCCTCCCTGACCAGGACACTGTCAGCATTCAGTATGCTAAAAACTCATGCCTGTGTCATGTCATTGTTAAATAGTTTGACATACAGCAGTGCGATCTGGTCTAAATGACATTGCTCAGTACACCATACACAGCTGAAATGATGCATGGACTGTAGAAAAACCTACAGAATTAATTAACAATATTCTAACAGTATAAAGACATTAACAATTTACAGATTGCCTAATTGCCTCCATCATCTACAACACTACCTCTGTTAAAAGGTACAAAATTATAATCTTCTCCACCATCATCTCATTTGTTGTTGTGTGAAACTCTTGACTCTGCCCTCTAGTGCCATCAGTTGACTGTATCTAAGCCAACGTATAGGACGCATGGAAGTATGAGGGCAGTAAATGGGCCATACGTGTAATGGTAAAGGTGGATAAGTACTGCTATAATGTATATCTGCATAAATAATTAAAAATAAAATGCTAGTTATATCAAGTCAATTTTGGGCTGCTTATTTTTTGCTTATGTGGCGAGAAAAATCCTATATTTTTGTTGTTTGGTTGTTGTTTTAAATGTTATAATATTTTAGCATTAGCATTTGAAAATCTCTCATCAAATTTTTGAGTTATTTTAAAGCTGCAGGAATTAAAGTGCACAAGCAGTAAACATGCTGAATTGGTGCGGAACACACCACACTGACGAGGATGGCAGACGCTCACCAACAGCCCAACTTTGACCAACGGCTGACCGTTGGCTTGGTATGTCAGGGCTTTAATACTGAAAACAGAAGATTAAAAAAAAACATACCACCTTTGGAACTTTAGGGCTCCGTACAAAACCGAAACAGTTACAAACTAAAAGATGCTAATGGAAGAGGAGAGTTGGTAATAAGTCTTGTGGGTCCATCGCTACAAGTGACACCTTTTACATTACATGTAGACATTTGACCAGTTGTTAATATGAAAATATAAGTGCTGCAAGCTTTAACTAGATTAGAACAAAATGCAAATGATGCCAAAAGTAATTCCCAATTTTCAAATGCAGACTTTTACAGTGTCCCTGTACATACTTTGTTGGATTGAAATCAGGGATGCCAGATAGTCACAACCCTGACATGCCAAATTAAAAGCTGTATGCAAGACAGCAAGTAAGACCCAACCCATCAAACCACACCATCCCTCTTAGACAGATGTTAAGGCCTCCCTGTTTATTCAGTTACATCTGTATGTTGAGGGCCTAGTCCAGCCGTAAACAAATATCACCTCTCTCTTTCAGAGAGGCTGATATTGATGGCACTGGTTAGAGTTGGCACTGCTGGCGTGGGAGAAGGGAGGGGGTAGTAGCAGGGTGGGGGGCATTGTCCTGTCGGGAGGCAATCGATGCTCACATCCTGTGAACCCTACATGTTACACGGGAGAGCACTCCCAGCACACAGGCTGCCAAAGTGCACACATACACAGACAAAGACAAAGGCAAGAGGAGAGCTGAGGGATGTGGACTGGAGTTTGGAACCAGCACAAGAGGATCACCAAACACCTCCATGGGGTAGCCATACAGAGACACTCACTTCCTGGGATGCTTATACAAAAACAATGAAGTGCATCAAGAGGCAAAGAGGGAAGCCATACCAGTGATATGTAAGTACTGCTGCAATGGTTGATTCATTGAATTTGCTGTAATGGCATGCTTCCAGATTCATGTAAAATAGTTTTCTCACATGGCCTTATGACCTTCTAACAGAAAAGACTAAGCTGGGTGCATTTCTTTTGCATACTTCTAAAATCCATCATAAAATAGAGTTTGCATGTTATTTCCACACCACAGCACAGTTCCATTTGATTTTGAGTGTAAAGGCGTCTGTATCAGCACGAGCTGTCTGGTGAATGCACGCCAAAAATTATGTGCTGGTCATGGCAAGGACATATTCGACAAGAGGATGACGCACACTAAGCTCCAATGATATGATTGTATCACCAACATTTAGATCACACGCTGACACAGTGGGACTGATGTTTCAACCAAACTTTTTTTCAGGTACCTTGAAAAAGACCATCAGGGGGTTCAAATACCAGAGATACAATAAAATCACTGGAGTCCTGAAGACATCTCCTTTGAAAACAAGAGTCTCCAAACCCCAGACTATTGTGATGATGTTTACATGGGGACAAGTTCTGGAGCTGCACCACAGTACCCCAGCCACCAGAAAAAAATGATGTTGGCATCAAATCTGCAAACCACGGATAAATTACATTTTTACTACATTATTGGTGGATATGCTGAAACTTTATGTATCAGCAACGCTGTTAATATGCGGTTAGGCTTAGACACAAAAACCACTGGTTATGGTTAGTAAAAGATCATGTTTTGGCTTAAAATACCCACTTTTGGGGGCATAATCCCTGCCGGAAAAGCAGCAATGTCTAATTAAAACACAACCTCTTTTCATGGCACTATCCCCACTAAATAAACAGTGTTGCATCCCAAAGAAACATCCGAGCACTGAGTTGCTAAAGAGCAACCGTTTTTGTTGGTTTTGAACAGTGATCTGCAGCTTGGCAGGTGTCTCACCTTGGTGTCACAGCATCCACCATATGTATGAAATGTACAAATGTAATGTATTTGTGGTTTGCAGAGATATACAATGCCAATATTTTCTTTTGGCTGCCGGGTTGATCATAGACTGAGTAATGAAATAAATGCTAGAGCTCTGCATCTGGCATGGTGATATACTGGGGTATACTATAAGCTCTAAATGCACATCAAACTCTTTTGATGGAATATTTCAAATAAAAAGCCTAAACCATGTCAGACAACATTTTATTCATTTTATTCCAAAACACTATGGATCTAAGTTTAAGGGTGGGATTTTCCAGTTATAGGCAGCACATACATAAATGTACTTAAACTTTGTTGTACATTGCGTCACAATGCCAGAGCACAGTCTGAGTCCTCTCTTCTTCTCTTTGGTTGGACCAAACACTTGCTTGGGACAGGGCTGGTTTTGACCCAGGCTGTAAAACATCATTAGTCAGACATAAACATGAACCCTGTCACACCTGATTAGACGAGCTCACCACTTGATAGGATGTCAGTAGCTGGTGCAACTTTAAAACTGGAAAACCAAAAGCAATCAGCCGTGTAAATAAGTTTGACTATGTATTGAGAACATCTTTGAATTCTGTTTTTTGATGTTTGGAAGTTTCTATTTCTGAAGATTGTTACATCAACTTCTAAACACTAACCTCAGTTTGCTGATTGGTCCAGTTTGAACATCAATACATTTTCAGTATGTTTTTTTCAGATGTTTTTCATTCTAGTAATGTTATATATTTTTATTTATGTCAACAAATGCCATGTGCATATTTGAACTAACAATGAATGTGTCATACTAACAAGTATTGTGTGGATCAAAGCCTGATACATGTTCTTCATCTGTGCCATAGAGCTCAGTTGTTGCTGAAACACATCAATGAGTCACACTGTTGCACTTGGTGACATGTTCCTTCATTGCCATGAACACACACTAGTTTATTGACTCAGTTCCATTCCACACAACACTGAATCAAATGTGGATTAATCTGCTGCTGAAAATAGTCCTCAACAAATACACTATTTCCTCCTGTTTGAGTAACAATTGTTAAAAACTACAGTGATTGATGGGTTCTGGAAATTACCAATATTTAAAAAAAAAAAAAAAAAGAATCTATATCTTTGTGAGATCTCAAAGATGTATGTCTGAGAGCCATGGACCGGATAGGGAGGTCAGAAAGTATTATGAGATTGGTATTGGTTTGGGTCTTTTCACGGGATGTAAAGAATTACACAGCAACACCAGACTTACTCTTACAGGAATACTTCATCTGCAAAATGACCCTCAAATGTATATCAATTACTCACTGTGTGTTGCCTTGAATTAGTGACGAAAACTTTATTTATCTTGCATGCCTCCACAGTGAACGGAGAATCCAAAAAGGCAAACATCCTTCATGAATTGAAGTCAACAGCGACCACGTTTAATAACAACAAAACTATATCTAAACCTCAGTTTACAAACTCTCCTACAACTCGTTCAGTATAATGCAGGTCTCATTTATCCAGTCATTTGCTTGCACACATATATTTTCACTAAAACCTTACTATATAGAACACATAAGTGCGTGCGTTTGAAGTGTGCTCAGGCGGAGATCATACGGCGCGTTACTCGTAGGCAGCAGTGGTGTGGTGGAGGGTATATGAGGTACACCTATCTTTTTTTTTCTGGCCGTTTACAGTATACCCACCTAACAGCCAAAAAGCTATTAGAATATATATATATATATATATATATATATATATGTACCCACCTTGTCAACTACCACTAGACAACTGTGTAGATGGGTAGGTTACCAAGGAAGAAGTAGGTATACTCTCTCATGTATTCCAAAGCTTTCAGCTGATAGGTGGGTAAACTGTGAGCGGCCAGAAAAAAGGTGGATTGCACTGTATACCTGTGTGTACCCTGCACTACACCATGGGTAGGTGGAAGTGTTTTCTATTATAATGTTTTCATGAAAATATATGTGTTTGGGAAGTACTGAGCATAGGTCTAGATCAGGGGTAGGCAACCTGCAGCTCTGGAGCCACAGACAACTCTTTAGACCTTTTCCATTGGCTCCATGTGGCGCTGACCTACAATTATATGGAAATGAATAACAGTTATTTTTTAACATTGAGATTTTCATTTGTCATTGTTGAAGGCCTAAAGTGATCATTGCATTCTGCAATTGTAAAACTGTGTAGCCTATACATCAAATTGAAAAACGTTTGAACGTTTCATCAACTAAACTGTGAGTCATACGACCATGACCTGTTGCCTTTGCTCTACATTTTGCTGAACTTTAGTCGTGGTGTTTAGCCTGGAGTCTCTCCAGCATGGCTAGCTATGAATTCCGAAAAAGGAAAAGTCTTGGAGGAAAGCAGAGGATTAAATAGTGTGTGGACAGATTCATTTGCTTTCACCACCAATGCTGCAAAGTGAAAGTACCGAATAATTACAAATAGCCAGCTGCAGAGTAGCCACTTTGTAGTTACTCATATTAATAGATGCTCGTTTAGACCTATTTGTAATATTGATGGGCTAATTTAGACTTAATAGGTTGTTACCCTTATTCAAATATGTTTTGTGGCTCCAGACATTTTTTTTTTATTTTGGCCAATAATGGCTCTTTTAATAGTAAAGTTTGCTGACCCCTGGTCTATATAAATGAGACTTGAATTATACTGCACAAGTTGTATGACAGCTTGTAAACAGTGTTTTGATGTAGTTTTGCTGTTGAATGTAGTCCCTGTTTATCTCAATTAACGAAGAATGCTCACCTGTTTTGGATTCTCCATCCACCATGGAGGCATGTGAGAAAAACAATGTTTTCTTTAAAAATTCAACATAACGTGGGGTAACTGATATACAAATGGTATATATATTTGCAGGTAAGGCATTCTTCTAAAAGGATAGCTAAGGGTTTCATTATAGCGTCATTTTTGTAGATCTGGCCACCAATTCATTATGACGTTGTACTCACCAAAGCTTTGTAATTCCTCTTGGATCTTGGAACTCCACAACATCACCGAAAATAGGTGGAACTGGGTAACAAACACAAGCAGTTTGATGGTTGTCGATGAGCCCTCTGGAGGTATCATTGTTACACCGGTGAAGGAGGGTGCCCACCTGACAACCCCAATGAAGCTTTTAACCTTTAACTTTCTTACTTTTTATCCATCTAATCATATCCCAATTGCTCCCACTCAGAAACTCTCAGATAACACTATCACTCCCACTCATAGTCTCAAGTATGTGCAACAGCACAAGTGTCATCTAGTCCTAAATTGAACTTGAGAGAGGTTATACACAAACTCCAAGGTCAGCAAAATTAATATGGAAGAGAAAATGTTCCTTAATGGTAAAATTACCCCAAACTGCCTGTTGTAAACATCCACAACAGCTTATAACCCAACTATCTTGTTGCATTTACAGTAGCTGTGCACACTTGTGCATTTTCCTGTGCAAAGAGGTGACATTACTGTTGCACCCACTTTTGGTTTTACGTCCAAAGGAAGCAGTAGCTAATCTGACTAAGCTGTCATTTTGTTGCTGTTTATGTTTCTTGTCACCTTGGTTTTATTTCTAGTAAGGCTGCCATGTCTCAGGATTTCAGTAATGCCTTCAGTGAGTACAATGGTATTATAACAGAGGTGATGACCTGAGCTGTAAAACTAAAACCCAAGCACTGTGGCTTTTCTTTAGAGTTTCATAAGGAAAACTGATATATATATATAGCTTTGTGAGGCTAATGTGTTGCATATGCATTCTGTGTCTCCACAGTTTGAAGACATGTGGCAGTGAAGTGGTGAGAAGCTGACCATGGGTGACTGGAACCTGCTGGGCAGCATCCTAGAAGAGGTCCACATTCATTCCACCATCGTGGGCAAGATCTGGCTTACCATACTCTTCATCTTCCGCATGCTGATCCTGGGTGCAGCTGCTGAGGATGTATGGGATGACGAGCAGTCCGAGTTTGTCTGCAACACCGACCAGCCAGGCTGCAAGGCGGTCTGCTATGACCGTGCCTTTCCCATCTCCCTCATTCGCTTCTGGGTCCTACAGGTCATCTTTGTCTCTGCACCCTCTCTGGTCTATATGGGCCATGCCCTCTACTGCATCCGAGCTCTGGAGAAGGAGCGCCACCGCAGACGGGCACAGCTAAAGGAGGAGATGGACGAGGCTGAGTTGGCTTTGGTTGAACAGAAACGTGTGGAGAGGGAGCTGAGGAGACTGGACGAGCAGAAAAAGGTGAAGAAGGCTCCACTCAGAGGCTCTCTGTTGAGAACCTACATCATCCATATCCTTACACGCTCTGTGGTGGAGGTCTGCTTCATCCTGGGCCAGTATGCACTCTATGGTGTCAGCCTGGATCCACTCTATAAGTGCGAGAGGCTGCCTTGCCCAAACAGTGTAGACTGTTACATCTCCAGGCCCACAGAGAAGACTATCTTCATGGTGTTCATGATCGCCATTGCTGGTGTTTCACTTTTCCTCAACATTTTGGAAATATCCCACCTGGGCATCAGGAAAATCAAACAGACACTGTATGGAGAGAGGTACACGGAAGATGACAGTTTGATTTACAAGTCCAAGAAGAAGTCGTCCTCGCCACACCTTTGTGTAATGAGCAATGTATCACCTCACAATGGGCCTTTGACTCAGACCTTCAAAGTGATTCCAGAGGCGGACATAAAGCCTCCTTATTACAACACTGGGCTCAAAGCCAACCAGGATGCACTAAGATACAACAACTTGGCTCATCTGGGACACAGTCAGACCAGCTATATCTGTCCCCAACCTAGGATGCCATCCAGGTCTGGCCAGAACTGTGTCCCTGAAACCCATGAAGGTCCAGAGATCCACACAGCTGTGGTGGACCACCATCCAGCCTGGGCTTCTGCTGAGTCCAATATGGAAAGAAGTGCAACCGGTCATCATGAGGATCCCCGTGAGGAGGAACACCCCCACCCCAGTCATTTGGCAGCTCTGCTGTCCACCAGCACCTTACGGCCCAGAGCTATCAGAGACCTGGATGAGGACGAGCGAAGGGAGTCAACAGGGAGTGAGGTCCTACTCCCTAACCCCAGGAAGACCAGCTTCATGATCAGGCCACCATCTGAGAGCTTGTCCTCCATCAGTGGCTCCACGAGCCCTTCCTTACATACCTCAGAGGAGTCGGATGAACTGGGCTCCCTGCAGGGAGACATGCCTATGATGCCGCCTGCTGGAGGCCGAAGAATGTCAATGGCAAGTAGAGAGCAGAGATTATCTCGTGTGTCTGAATCGTTTAATACTAGCCCAGAAGAGGGATGTCCATTTCGGTTAATGTTGCTTTCAATAGGCCAACATTAACTGGTAATTAACAGGTTAATTTTTTAGACACGAAGAAAAAAGAGAAATTGTTATGTTTTGTGATTGAAATGTCTTGCCTTCTATATCATTGCCTAATGGATTTGCTAACAAACAGCTGGCCAGCTGCGTTAACATGCGGAAACATCTCCACCGCCCAGCCTCCTGTTCCTTGGCTGCTCTGCACTGCGCACTACCTGGGTTGGGTGGGAGCTAATGTTAGCTGGCTAGCGGCGCTTGGTGATTACAGCTAGTAATGCCATCCTGGTGGGGAACATGTTATTGCAGAAACATTGTGCCCATCCTCTAGTCTTCCCTTAGGTATCACCTATGAGTAAGTGGCTTCATTGTGAGATGCAAAACCCTTTTAGCATTGTCAGCTGTGTTAGCATCACCAGCCACACTGACACTGCAAACAGTGGTAACAGAGTGAACACTGATAACATAGTAAACAATGTTACAGAGGTTTTATGGTTTAAAAATTAGCCACTTACTTAACGGGGGGAGCTGGGGAGAGACTGGAGGTTGGGCAAAGTGATTTCACAGCAACACTGTTGGGTCAAGACACCTTACTCGCAGTAATCACCAATAAGCAGCACCACCAGCTAGAAAGCTCCTTCCAGACCCAGGTGGTGCATAGAGCAGTAAACTGAAGAGTAGCAAAATTAACCTATGAAGCAACATGCGTAACTAGTCAAATTATTCTGGTCAGTTAACTGATTAACAGTTAACTGTTGACATCCCTAATCCAGAACATCAAAGGCAAAGTTATAAAGGACAGAGAACACCTGACAATTTGGGAGTAGTCTCGCCACCAGACAATCAGAGATCTCCGCCTTCTGATAGTCTGGGGACACTCCTTTCTAAAGTGTGTTTAACACACCAGAGAAAACAGCCGGCAACAAAGCAACGCCTCTTGCATTTTGTAAAAGGACACGCCCTCCCGGAAATGTGCGCACCCCCTTTTCTCATCCGCAAGGACACAAACACAGAGAGAGCTTGAAAATGGATGCTGAGAGATTTAACTCCGTTTTATCAAACATGGGCTCACTCCACAAGACTGTGGAAATGAAGGACTTACAGCGACTTGAGCCATTTTGTACCGCTGCACGTGTTTCTAGTCGGACTATGTTTACGAGCACAAGAGTTCAGCAAGCCACCAAAGGACCGCCCTGCAGATTTACTATTGGTTCTGCAACGTAGGGAGTTTTTTTTAAACTCTGAAATTGTATCCGCCCATCTAAACACAAAATCAGGGAGAAAGTCATCAGTCTTTAGTTAAGCAAAGCATCTAAAGACTGACTTGTGAGTCTAATTTGGGAGCAACTTATGCCCCACCTGGATTTCATCGATAGTCTAACCAGTTATATGTACAAAACATAAAGCTTCTGCTGGAGTATTATCAAAGAGGTTAAAGGGAAAAAAGTTATTCTAAGGCTCACTCACTGGTAGAGTTATGAAATTAAGCATTTTGTCCACTAAGTTCAACCAGCGAATGAACAAATGAGGCCAAAATACTTAAGGGCAACAGTTATGGATGCAGAAGAGTCAATAAGGAAGTAATATAAGAGACAGCACAAGAGATGTGGTGTTTTAAAGAGAGAACGAGGGAGAGAAAGCTCAATTCTGTTGATTTGGACAAAACCTAATAGTGACAAATTGGCAGCTTCTGTCCATTCAATGTTCTCAGTGGAAGCAATGAGAAGAAATCAAAGTGTTCTTAAGTTTCAGATAATTCCCTTCAGTTCAGACAGGAAAAGCAAAACAGCAACAGACAGGAGGCAATGTGTTGCCATTACAGACATGCACAGACCTTACAACACTGAATTTAGTATTACAAAGTAATATTACTTGTATGAGATCAGACACATTAACAGCTTTAAAAACAAAGGATAAATACATAAACACATATAAATATATCAATTATGAGATGTAATCTAAAACAAAAATAAACTACTGCCAGGCAGTTGTATGCCTCTGTAAGTCAAGTTCCAGTTACAGTTTACATCCATGTCTGTCCAGACTCATATGTAGCCATGACAGTTGACAATGTTTCAAAGGTGTTGCTGCAAAGAAGCTCCAAAGTCGATAACATGAATGCTTCACACACATCCTCAAACCAGCAGTGTAGACGATCTATACAATCAGCACAGTTTCAAGATAGATACCCAACATTAGTGTCATCAATTCAGTATCAGACCAAATCTTTTTCTTTTCCTGAGATATGATGTTGAGTAATGGCAAGATAAGTGTTTTTGCAGAACATTATTATGTCACAGTGAAGTTAACCACTGACCTTTTGGATATAAAATGTTGTCCCTTCGGACAGTTGGGTAAAATTCTGTCATAATTATTATATGAATTCTTGAGTTATTGCCAAAAATATGTTTTTGAGATCACAATACCTTGACCTTTGCCCACCAAAATATAATCAGTTCAATGTTGAGTCCAAGTGAAGGTTTGTGCCAAAGTTGAGGAAATTCCCTCAAGGCACTCTTGAGATATTGCATCCATGCAAATGAAACAGATGTAAGGTCACAGTGACCTTGACCTTTGACCACCGTCATCAGTTCACTGTTATAGTGAACTGGCAGTAGCTCAGTCCATTGGGACTTGGGTTGAGAACCAGAGGCACGCCTGCTCGAGTCCCCGTCCGGACCAAATATGGAGCATGGACTGGTGGCTGGAGAGGTGCCAGTTCATCTCCTGGGCACTGCCGAGGTGCCCTTGAGCAAGGCACTGAATCCCCAACCGCTCGGGGCGCCCGACCAAGGGCAGCCCCCCTCACTCTGACATCTCTCCACTTTGTGCATGTATAGGTCCTGTTTGTGCATGTGTGTGTCTTTCGGACCTGTGTGTTAATGACAAAAAGAGTGAAAAAATTGAATTTCCCCTCAGGGGGATTAATAAAGTGTATAAAATTAAAAAAAATATCTATATATCCAAGTGAACGATTGTGCCAAATTTGAAGAGATTTCCTCAAGGTCCTCCAGATATATCATATTCACAAGAATATTATAGACACAAGGCCACAATGACCTTGACCTTTGTCCACCAAATTCTTGTCAGTTCATGGTTGAGTCTAAGTGGACGTTTGTGCCAAATTTGAAGAGATTTCCTCTCAGATAACACTATCACTATCACTCCCACTCATAGCTTCCCTACACGGGAATGGGACAGACGGACAAAAAACACAATGCCTCCTGCCATGGCAGTCACTGGCACGAGGCATGAAAAATTACTGTAAAAGTAAAAAATAGTTGTTTAAAGTTTTATAACACATGACATTTAATCACAAATTAATTCACTGAATATTATAGATACTCTCAAATTATTGCACAACAGAATTGTGTTATCTTTAATTTCCCTTTAACAAGTTAAAAGTGTTGACAAACACCTCAGTGTTGTGTTCTTTTAATTCATTAATCTGCACCTACAATTCCTCTTACATAGGTTTTTTTTTCATGACCTCTGCTGGCCTCTATAGATTTCATATTAAAGCTCTGTCTATTGCCACCTCATCAGCAGCAATGTTTTTATTGAAAAGATGTTTAAATCTGCTCAGTGTTTTCTTCCATAGACTCATTTTGAAATGATTAGATTTTATTCATCATTCTTTGTTCCAAGATAAAAATATAAATGCATGTTATGGATAGGCTACTCATTAAGGCTATGATACTGGACACATACTGAGAGATATTTGCTTTACTGAATTCCAGGTGTGTATTTTCTGTCCAGCAGCAGCTCCAGTCTAAGTCAAACCTGTCCTCTTGTCTTTCTCAGAGCATGTTTCTGGATATCTCCTCTATCATGAAGAAGTGAAGAGACAAGGCTTACGTCACGGCCGCGGGAGCTGTGTTCCACAAACTTTATCAATGATCCAGCCATCAACATTGATTCACCACCCGAGTCACATAGGGCCAAAAGCAGTGAAACATTCAGCCATGATGAAACAATGGACACAGTGCCAAAGCCCAGCATGTTTTGGAATTGAAGCACCTTAGAACATCTACATGTGGGCACTAACAGGAATGAATTGTATCTTTTTTAAAAAATGTGTTGGCTGAATTTTGAAGATTATGCAGACATGACACAATGGATTATGGAGCAAACTCCTCAGAGGATCTGTTTGCTGGACTTCATAAGCTTCAAATACTTCTTCTAAGTTGAAGACTTGATTAGAATCTATGTGTATCTGTATATAGTCATTTATATATGGTCATCTCATGAGAAATTATGATACTTTATATTGTATTCAGATTAAATGCTTCTTAACAAAACAGTAATCATTTTGTCAACAGATACTGAATCGGTATTCACACACCAACAGCACACTGTAGAATTCTCATGCTTTTTGTTTTATTTCTCAAGAAAAAATGCCTTGACAAAATGCTTTTCTTCATATCAAATAAACAAAACATGACATGTTGCACAATATTTACAAAAGAATTAAAACAAAACAAAGGTCATTTGAACATTCAAAGATAAAAAAGGAAATCACAAATGCTCGATCTGCATATAACAGTCATGTATCAGGTACTCAAAAAAAAAAAAAAAGAACACGTAAAAAATGGCTCACCAAAATCTACAAATACAATGAAGTAACCACTGTAAAAAGTTAGAAACAACACCACAGAAACTGTCTACATGTCTATCATACAGTCCTTACCCATAAGAAGAGGTATGCTGAATTATCCAGGTAGATAAGTGCTTAGAGTCTGTTCAACTGAGACTCGAGTAATGAACGCATTCTGTAAACAGATTGGAATAAATAAGTGCTTCCTTTAGTAGGCCACCATGTATTGTAATTTAAAAAAAAGCATTTGATTCCAAAATACTCAAGGGCAGACTCTTCTGTGTAAACCCACTGCTTTAACCACTTAAACACTGGATCCTAGATTAGAGCTGCACTCAGAGATGATGGACACTTCAGCATCCTATGCAACATAACAGCTCTGAATTAACTATAAAAGGATAGTTTGGATTTTTTGAAGTGGGGTTGT